GCACCAAACCCCAGCCCTAAACCCAACCACCATTGAAGGATTGGCAAATCATACTAAATTGTATAAATGAGATCACAATAAGCCACTGAATCAAAAAGTTATGAATTGCGTTTGGCAGCAAGAGTAGGACCAAAGCATATCAGTCCCTTTTAGTTTTGAACTAAGTGCCACACATAATGTTTTCAATTAACCTTGTGTGACAAACTTTGAAAACTTCAGTTGAACCTGAACTATTCCCAAACGAAGCCACCATGTATCCCTCCTAGCTAAATATTTCCTTTATTTTCAATTTTTTTTTGTTCATCCAAGCATATAAACACTCTCTTTATTGCCTTGAATCGACTGTGCAAACTTGTAAAAGTGCCCCCAATGAATGCTTCTTGTGGTCACCTCTATTGTTAATAGAGTTCCTGGTGTAAACATTGAGCACTTATTGGCACTTTAAACATTCCCGAAACAAGGATTTGCTGAGAAGAGGGCACTTTGTTCTAAACTTAGTTGCCTGTGTGCTCTCTATACTGTGTTGGAAACGACTTTGTCCCACTTAATTATAAAGAATTGGCTCACCTGGCAATAATTCATCTATTTATAACAAGGTGAAGAAAGAATCAACCATACCCAGGCAAAAAAAGTAAAGAAAGAATAAAAGGGACATGTATACGGAGATATGCCAAGTGGAAAAGCTGCACTGTTTGATGCAGATAATATTTTTCCACAGGCACTTGCTTTTTCTTGGGCAAACTTTAAACCTTCAAAAGCAGGAAATATATATCAAGTTCTATAAGAATGGACTGAATTCCTTTAGTGACCCAAAGGTTATGTATGAAAAATGTGACATGTGCCAAAGCATAAACATATGCAGATCGGACAGGAAAAGACAAGGCTCTTAAATTTATGCTCTCTTACCTATATATCCTGTACGTATATTATGGCGCATAAGTTAAAGTCTGTCCACCCTGAACCAGACTGATGTGTTTCTTTTTTTTCTCTGAGGTTTCGCTGGAGAATGTAAAGTTGAACCATGAGTAAATGGGTCTGGGGAAGCCTCGGATGGGAGCTGGTACGGATACCTGGGTGAAACATAATCTAGAGAAAGAAATGTTAGGACTGTAATTAAGTGAACACAAAGCAGCCCCTTTCTCCCACCAGTTCCATCCCCCGCCATGTCTCTGAAGGCTCACGGGTGTAAAAAACTGTCACGCTGAATCAAATAGACAGACGACTTAATAAGATCTATCCTGTGAGATTACATATATCAGGGCCTGGAGAGGAATGAGGGGTGCATGAGCGTTGCTGGCTGGAATCCAGACGTCACACAGACGGAGAAGGAATAGCCAGCCTGCGGATAGCAGTTGCCTTCTGTTTCTCCTTGTGGCTTGAAGTTAATGAAGGACACAAATTTGGAGTGTGGTGCCTCCTGGTGGCAATCAACATAATACACTTATGTAATACACTTATCAGTATTCTTATAAAAAAAAAAAAGAAAAATGTTGTAGATTTATTAACAAACTGAAAAATAATACATTATTTAAGCATAATTAATATACAAAGAACAGCAGAAAGTTAAAAATAAATGTTTATTCAAAACAGAAATAGAAAATAATCAGTATACTGTATCAATAGATTGCTCTTCAATGTTTGGCCTCTCAGTAGAGATTATTAAACCACACTGAACTGAGCTAAACTGAACTAACTTAAACTCTGAAAATTGAACTGACACTGTTTCAATTTCCTATGATCTTTTATGTGAAGCCGCTTTGACAATCTACATTGTAAAAGCGCTGTACAAATAAAGGTGAATTGAGTTGAAACTGTATCTTTTAAATATGAACAGGAGAGTAACGTGGGTTGATAGTAACACAAATGTTTTCTCGAAGCCCTGACAACGTTTGCTTTCCAGGCTATAAAAGCTCATTCTGCATGCAGCCGTTAAAGGAGCTGAAGTTTAATATTGTTTTGCAAAAGGACAATTTTTTTATTAACACTGCCATTGTCATATACAATGCTCAACATAAATAAGTACACCCCTCACAAATCTATCTTTTAAATTATTTTTAATAGGAAGCTATACAATATTATATTTGTGCATATACATTAGATTAGTCAGTACTGAAGCCAAATCTAAAGCTTATCTAACAAAATAACTTATGATAATGGTCCAAAAACAAGTACAGTCAAATTTGTATGTTAAAAAAGATATTGCATACAAATTTTAAAAAGAGGAAAAGTCAAGACAAGCAAAAAATGGGAAAAAAGTTGAAATTTTGTAGGTTGTATTATATTGTTTTTTGCAATATTTTGCTTGAATTTAATTGTTTTATCTTTCAATTTCTATGTTTGGTGACTAAAACACTATTTGAATACAGATATCTGTTCAATAAATCGGTTTTGTTTAAATGCACCGAAATACATTGCCTATATTCACTGAGAAACGGATACAAATATTCATTTTTAAAATGTGGTGTACTCAATTATGCTAAGCACTGTATATTTAAAATAAACAAGATTAAGCCAGTAATGTCTAACACATAGTGTTGTGTTATGTTTGACCCAGCAGTGTGTTACTTTTGTACCTACTGACAGGGTCAAAAGTAACAATGTGCAGTTCATGTTTAAAGTGAAATTATCTTGAAGTTGTTCTATGTTTATACAAAATAGCACCTGATATTGATATACCATGTTTATTTAGTAAGTTATATAGAGTTAGTAACCACACCAAAAATAGATTTCTGTCTAAAACATTATCTTTTAAAAAGTTTTTTTTATTATACTTTCATTCCCTATTTTATAGCATTTGTACTTTTGCACGTCTTTCAAAAATATTTATTTTTTAATTAATTGTTGTTCATTTAAGAATATTCAAGAATTAAAATCCTGAAAAAAAAACAGTTTGCCTAACGATATCAAGAATCTTTTTCTTGATCACCAAATCTTAATTTTTGAATGAAGTATCATGTGACACTAATGTTGACATTTTTATTTTGTAACAACTTTCATTGGCCAAAGTGCTTTCCAGTAAGTAAACAGAAATGCAGACAACCACAAACAAAGAATCATGATCATACCTCCTGACAGTCACATACACTGAAGACTGCAACAGTCTACAAAACAATTGAACTTTAACATTTTAAAATTGACAAAATACTGTACAATAATAATGACTAATTACATCATTTAAATGAGTAAAATAATAAATAAAGGCGGCACGGTGGCTCAGTGGTTAACACAGTTGCCTCACAGCAAGAAGGTCATTGGTTCGAGTCCCGGCTGGGCCAGTTGACATTTCTGTGTAGAGTTTGCATGTTTTCCCCATGTTGGTGTGGATTTCTTCCGGGTGCTCCGGAGTCCAAACATACACTAAATTGGCGTATGAGTGTGTGAATGTGAGTGTGTATGGGTGTTTCCCAGTACTGGGTTGCAGCTGAAAGGGTGTTTAAAATACATGCTTGAATAACTGACGGTTCATTCCATTGTGGTGACTCCTGATAAATAAGGAACTAAGCTAAAGCAAAATGATTAATTAATTGAACTAGTGATATTTTGCAAGTTAACATGAACTTGAAATTCATTGTCTATTTTCACACAAAAAAGGAAAACCTAGCATGTTACTTTAACATTTATATTTTAATAGAGAAACTTTTAGATCCCAATTTATTTAGATTAAATCACAAAAATGGAATCTGAATAAAAATGTAGCATTTCTCTTTATAGAACAGATATAAACCTAAGTGAGCCCCTAAAGGAAAAAAAAATATAAAATTAAAATTAGTAATTTCTTTTAAAAAACTGTGGTCAGTAAACAGATCCGACTGCCCACCTTGTGTCTAGACTGGTGTGCTGAATTTTACAGGAGCATATAAAGCAGACTCCGGAAGGCTGGGTAAGAACATCAGTTCATCATTACACGCCATAAAACATGCCTTCTTTTATACCCAGCTTCAGTCCATTTGGAGTCTGTTACCTGTTAAGTTTAGGGCAAAGAAAACATGAGATGCACACAGTACTTAAAAACAACAAGATTATAACTTAACATGTATTGGCACATTTGTATTCCTGCCTGATATCTACATTCCAAAAAAATCAGGTACTTTGTTCCATGCAGGTCTATAGTTAGTCCTGAAAGTCTCAATGAGGAAGTGTGTAAGGAAAGCAGCGGTGAGCCACAAACAGAATGTTATGTGAGGTTTACGGCAGTGTTTCCAGTGATTCTTTCAGGTCTTTCATTTGACTAACATGTTGAGAAGTAATCATTTAGGTCTTAACCTGCTCCACATGTTTTCACAGTATGTTTGTACAGTTGAAGTTAAAATTATTAAGTCCTCATGTGATTTTTTTTCTATTTCTTTTTCAAATATTTCTCAAATGACGTTTAACAGATCAAGAATTTTTTCCCCGGTATTTTCTATAATATTTTTTCTTCTGGATACAATCTTATTTGTTTTATTTTGGCTAGAATAAAAGCAGTTTTTAGTTTTTCTTTTAAAAATCATTTTAAGGTCAATAATATTAAGCCATATTTGCTTTTCGATTGTCTACAGAACAATGACTTGCCTGATGACTTGCCTAAAAATCTAAAAGAATTCAAATTTAAAAGGAGGGTTAATAATTCTGACCTAAACTCTTACTTACTAATTCTTTGGGCCATTTATATTGAAGTTAATATTTAGCCGCATCATGTTGGTGTTTCGTAAAATCGAATTTTTAGGTGAGTCGTTAGGCCAACACTAAACCCCCAACCTGGAGGAGCAGGACATACACACACAGAATACGGACAATTTAGCTTACCCAATTCACCTATAGCGCATGGAAACCCACACAAACAAGGGGAGAACATGCAAACTCCACACAGAAGTGCCAACTAACCCAGCCGGAATTCGAACAAGCGACTTTCTTGCTATAAGGCAACATTTCAACCCACTACAACACTGTGGCACATCAAACTGAACTCTAGTCTCTACAAGCAATAATTTAACACTCAATTTTAATACATTTAAAAGCTTTTATGGGTTTGGACGAACGTCTGCATAATTTTTAATAACTTGAGAGAAGCGAATGATTTTGACCCTATTTGCCTGCGGTACCAAGTCCTGCCACATGTACTCAGGTGAAAGCAGTTTACTGGGTTTGTTATACAGCAAATACTTATTCAAATGGGACTCCTCCTGCCATGCTGCCTCAATGGATTTAGCTGCATCGATGTCCAGCTGCTCTCGGCAGGTTTTAGCAACCTCATGTACATCTTTCACTTTACCACCAAGCACAGCTCCACAATAATAATAATCACCTTCAGAATAAGGGATAAACGCTTGAGACTCAGGCCTTCGCTCATAAGGGAATTGCTCACGTCGTGTATGATAGTAACCAGGATGAATCACACCTATAAGATCACCCAAAGTCTCTGCTCCCCAGCGGCCGTAGAACTTTGTATCCACATCAAGGCTGAAAACATAGTCTGCTTCCTTCACCAATCGGCTCTCAATCAGTTTCTCCACCCTCTCCATCCTCCGCAATGTCATCTCCTGCCATCTGTTAGAACTTTTAACTGTCATCACCGTCAGTTTACGTTCTACACCCAGTTTCACAACAGGAACCTGTTCTGGGTGATCGGTGAAGACATAATAGTGCACACGAAACCCAACAAAGTAATAGCGCTCTGCAGACTCCAGGAAATCTTTAAGAAACACTGTGTATCTGAAACATGAAGATGGAGTATGATTAAAAAAATAAAGTGAAATGGCCTTTAAAAGTTCTAAATCTTTATAGGCGATTCTCTAAAGCAGGAGTCTCCAAACTTGTTCCTGGAGGGCCGGTGTCCTGCAGATTTTAGCTCCATCCCTAATCAAACACACCTGAACAAGCTAATCAAGGTCTTACTAGGTATACTTGAAACACCCAGGTAGGTGTGTTGAGGCATGTTAGAGCTAAACCATGCATGGACACCGGCCCTCCTGGACCGAGATTGGTGACCCCTGCTCTAAAGGAAGCATTATAACATTTAATGTATTCACTCACTAAACTCCAATACTGAACATTGAAAGTGAGATACCATTAGATAAAACAAGGTATTTATTAGGGACGTAAATCAGTAATGCCTTTGGCTTAATGTCCCTAATAGTCTACATAAAAACAACAGATAACCCCCCCCCCCACCCCCCCAGTACAGGCTTAAAAGCTGAGTTTAATACAAAGCTTAAAAAGGTCAGGGAAATGCAAATGAACTCACTTGCCAAGAGCGAAGACTGTAGTCGCTACTGTGATGTTCTGTTTTTTGTAGATTGAATCAATCAGTTTGGGATCAAACGTTCCCTCCCATACAATTGGGGCTAACCATGGTGTCAATTCAGCTTGGCTATATGGGCTGTTAAAAAAATAAAATAAAGTAAATCACATACAGTACATGCCAATGGAATGCAAATCCTAATGCACTGCAAACATATTACGTTTTTTCTTTGCATAAAAAAAGAGTTTGTCTGCTATTACAAGATATGCTGTGTCCAGAAATCACATACTATTTGTATAGGTACTTCATTTGAATATGAACATACTCCCAGCCCATTTAAAAATAGTAGTTGTTATCACATGACCTTGCATCACTTCACTCCCATTCATTAATTCTCTCCTGTGGCCTCGTGAGATAGTAAAGTTTCCATTGGATGCTCGATTCAGAATCTTGCCATACATAGTAGGGTACACTAAGTTGCCACTTTTCACCTACTAATTTTGGAATACTATATCTTCGGACATATTACTTGGCTCGCATACTGTTTTTTACATAGCTGCTATACAAAAAAGAAAGTATGTGATTTTGGACACCCAAGCTGCGTCCCAAATTGCACACTATACACCATGCACTTATGCACTATGTACTTATGCACTTACACACTCAATATCATAGTATATGAATGTAGTGCTGTCCCAAATGAAACACTAACTTTTGTTTTGCTAAACGGAAATTCAGACAGTTTCCCAGATGACGTTTGACGGTTGCCAAAATAACCAAAATAAATGACCAAAGAACCAAATAATACCTGCCATGAGTATAACCACATTCACCACCGGGAGGCAGTATAATCACTCTCATAGGAGAATTTTGCTTTCACGATTTAAAATAAATAAAGTAATCCAACATCAGTGGCTGAAAGCTCCGCCCCTTCCACTATGTGAGCAAAGCAGCGGCTGTCAAAGTCCCTTTAAGGCAAGTCATTTCACTCGGCAGCCATCTTTGAAATGCCTCTTGGGCGGTATGCTTGGACATTTTGTCTGAATGGGGAAACATCAAATTCTCCAAAACTACATGCCAAGTGTACAATTTGATTTCATATTATGAATAATCAATACAATTAACCAACAACTGTGTCTTTATTTTAATTTCTAAATGTTCGTATCACACAAAATCTGCAGGAACTCACGTCTGGTCGGATTCCCTCCCCCGGAGAATTGTATTATTGTGTAATTGTATTGCTCATTCTACAGCGATCACTGATTGGCTTCTGTACTAGAAGGCAGGCTTTATTCACCATATAGCGATCGCTGATTGGCTCCTGTATTAGAAGTCGGGGCTTCAATTGCCATATTGAAAGTTACACTTCTCCCCATTCAAAAGTATACGAATGACATGTCTTGTGTATTCTATAGTATAAGTGCATATATAAGTGCATATAAGTGCACATAAGTGCATCATGCGGTATTAACAGTGCACTCATACTTTTTAGAGTTTTCAGTGTGATCGCACTACTTACTAAAAAATGGCGTAGAATAGTGCATAAGAATGCAATTTGAGCCGCACCTCTATAGTGAGCATTGATGCTCTCTGGATTTCAGTGCATTGTGGGAATTTTCAGAGAGCAATCATTTTAGTGCAGTGCACTGGAAAATGTAAGTGATTGAGACAAACCTTTTGATTTACTGATCATTGCCCTGACTGAACCATGATCCTGATTGAGATGTACCCTACTCCCAGAGAAATCTGGACTTTACTTCAAGAATGCTGCAGCGGCTTCACACACAGATGACAGACACTTACTAAAGTCAAGTCTGACATAATACATGAATGTAAATCTATACAAATTATAATCACATTATAATTGGGGGAGGCTTAAGATCGCATGGGCCTGTCCGCTACACCACTGTGCATTTTGTCAAAAGGACTTGTGAAGGGAACAATGGGAACAAAAGGAAAATAATTGTTTGTTATGTTCAGCTGGAATATTACAAAGATGTCAGGAATATATTATTAAACTCAATTCAATTCATGTTTATTTCTATAGCGCTTTTACAATGTATGTGTCAAAGCAGCTTAACATAGTTCTAGTAAAGTCCAGATTTCAGAGTTGGAGTTCAGATTAGTTCAGTTCAGTGTGGTTTAAATTTCACTGCTGTAAGTTCAAACACTGTAGAGCAAATCCATAAATGTGCAGTTCCGATCAGAGCAAGCCAGTGGCAACAGTGGTGAAGAAAAAAATTCACCAACTGAGGAAGTGAAGCGGGAAAAAAACCTAGAGAAAAACCAGGCTGTGATGGGCACGATTATTCTTCCGCCAAACGTCCTATCTGGAGCTGCAGTCTAGGCGCCGGAGGCTGGACATCCATCGTGGAGAGCTGCAGGTGTGAGTAGCTAGGGCACCTGCAGGTGGTCAGGCTGAGCCACAGAATCAATGCGGGGATATTAAATATTTGTTACAAAAATATACCTGTAGAATGAGGTTTATAAAATACCATCGTTATTCCACACAAGTCTGGACAACTTGTAAAATCCAGTGAAATCTATAAATTGTAACCATTTAACTCCTTTAAATTTTTACTGCCCTTCCACTGAAAAAAAGGGCAATGAAAAGATTGACTTTTTTTCGCTGATAAATTTATAGGGATGACATTGCAAGTCCTATTGTGGTAATAAATGGCTACACAGACTCAGAAGGTCTCAAGAAAACAACAGTTACCTAAATTCTGTTGCTGCATCAACTAATGCAATTAGAGACTTTTATACAGAGAAAACCATCCATCACCATTGATTTTGCTGAGTTCTCTGTGTGAGAGCCCATTTCAGACAGTCAAAAAGACCTTTCCTGGAGTGTCCTTCAAGGCTCCAAAGATACAATTCAAGGCAAGGCAAGTATATTTATATAGCACATTTCATTCACAACGGTAATTCAAAGTGCTTCACATAAATATGAATAAAAGAGACAAGAAAATAAAAACAAATAAAAACTGATTAAAATGTGTTAAATAGGTTTTAAATAATGAAAAAGAAAAGAAATACATTATAGTGCAATCTGTGGTTCAATAAAATAAAATACAATACAATGCGGGCAAGGCAGTGGTGCAGTAGGTAGTGCTGTCGCCTCACAGCAAGAAGGTCGCTGGGTCGCTGGTTCGAACCTCGGCTCAGTTGGCGTTTCTGTGTGGAGTTTGCATTTTCTGCCTGCCTTCGCGTGGGTTTCCTTCGGGTGCTCCGGTTTCCCCCACAGTCCAAAGACATGCGGTACAGGTGAATTGAGTAGGCTAAATTGTCCGTAGTGTATGAGTGTGTGTGTGAATGTTTCCCAGAGATGGGTTGCGGCTGGAAGGGCATCCGCTGCATAAAAACTTGCTGGATAAGTTAGCGGTTCATTCCGCTGTGGCGACCCCGGATAATAAAGGGACTAAGCCGACAAGAAAATGAATAAATGAACAATACAATGCAACCTTTGTCTCTACCGATAATAGCAACCATACCAGTATAGCAATACACTGGAGTTTACAGCAGCTGGAGATACCTGGCAGTTAAAGCCAGAAAACAGGGGCTGGAGACCAGGTGCACATGTAAGTTGAGACTGCATGCAGCTTTTAATCAAGCGGCAACCATGAACCAAGCACGGAAGTAAACTGCAATTCATCGAAATTCTGCTAGTCCTGGCTCTATAATAGAGCAGATTTCTATTGAGCCCACAGGCCAAATTTCAGCAGAAAAAAAAGGTGTTTACAGCCTGGTACAAAGAACGATTTTGGTGCATATAGCTAATATTACCCTTCATAAAAACTGTGAGGGCGGTGGATTTTAATTATAACTCATCCATTTAGTTTATATTAAGTTATATTAAGTCTGCACAATTAAGGGTGTGGCCATTTGAATGACAGCTTGGTCTAGCTGGTTGCCTTCACTTCACCTTAGCAGATTCCGGCTGATTAGCCACTGAACTCGACATATACATCATATTCTTGTTTTGTTTTATGTGCCTTTATACAGTCAATCGTCTTTTGTAATTATTTCCTACAATTGTCAGATTAAATGGCATGCTGTGTACACTTAATTGTGCTCACAAACCATTCACGTGGTATCCATTTCCCAGGTGAGTTATTTTATATTTATATATCATATCTATAAATGTATTTATTTTATTTAAGATAAATTCTCATTTATAATTTTCTTTAGACCTGTAATGCACTCCAGAATCTGATAGATTGATTAGCTGTAGGCTCTAGAACAGTCATCTGAAGCACTGTAATACAGTTTTATGCCTGGATTTCATAACTAGCCTTGCGTTTACTAACAGACTATATGTGAAGTGTTTAGAAGTAATTTAAGTTTTTCTCTGGTAGAAAAGCATCATAAGAACAATGTTTAGGGGCTCAATTTATTACAACAGTGTTTTTAAAAGACTAAAATGCTTTATTGATATAGTGTTCGGTGCGATGACGTACAAACAAAATGGTGATGGTTGGCCACGCCTACTTGTAGCTTCTTTTGCATTCGTTAGAAACCTATGGGTGACGTCACGGATACTACATCCATATCTTTTACAGTCTATGCTTTTAATGTGTACATCTAACCCCGCCCCTTACCATACCCCTCACAGTAATGTCACTAACTCAATTAAGTGCATGAGAGTGCGTGTCTCAGCTTGCATGTGGAAGTCTGCAGCAAGGTACTATTGGCTCTTTTACTTTTCCCTTGTGAGCCTAAAACACATTTTTACTACATTTTTATTTTCAATTTAATCAGGTATAAATGTAGATACTTTTGATTGTCACTGCAGTAGATTTTTTGTTGTCTACCGTTTACAGACCCTTCCCAAAATTTTGAAAACCATTCTGTAGCAGGCAACAAATTAAAAAAATGCTTTGCTTTCGACATTTAATATTACTTTGTTTTCACTTTATATTTGAAACCGGTTATAATGCAGAAACACTTCATTCAGTTAGATTTAAGTTAGACTCGGTTTTTCCCAAAATGCTTAATACATTATAAGGCTTGCAGTTTATTTGCCCAGTAGTCACTGCTCTTCAAGACCCTTTTCTCAGAACACCATTATGCTTTGTGTGTATGTGCAAGGAGAATGCAAAGAACATCCGGTCGGCAGCTGATGTGTATAAACAGTCACGTTTGGACAGCTTTGAAACTATAAAGTTTTAATCTATTTTACCTGCTTTTACATCTTTGAACTAATACTGTTGTCAAACAGCACCACCTCCTGAACTGATTAGATAAAAATGCGATCTAGTAGGATGGAATATAACTGCTGTGTGAGGCATTTTCCCCTCGTTGTCAGATGGCATCTTCTGCCGTTTAAATTGAGCCTAGTCATAGCTAAAGTCAACATTTTCTCTTTCTTATGTATAACCAACCCAAACAAATGTAATTCACCAGAATGTTTGACACACATGTAGCTGATGAGCCGCTGAGCTTACAGCTGACAGACCGGGGAAACATGCACACGCACGCACGCACAGACACACACACACACACACACTGTATACCTGACGACAGACATGATGAACTAGGAGAACGTTTTTCGCGCTTGAACCACATCTGACAGTTTATAACGGCTTTAACACACATCTTTCAAAGATGTGTGTCACAAAAACATCAATCCACTCAAAACGCTATTGAAACCCATTTTCGATGAAATATGAACGTATTGCAAGCTAATTTAGTCATGGGTTTCTGCACATTTTATGAAAGTAAATTAAAAGTTTTTTGAGGGATTTTTAAGACTATAAATAATTAATGAATAATTTTGGAAACAAAAATATTAATGTGCTTTCTAAATGTATATTTATATTAAGCACACAATGTCATACTGAAATCTGAGAATACCACTTTGTATTGATACTGTAACTTACTTTTGAATTTGCTTTACCAAAGAAAAACAGCAAAGTTTAAAGTTTGAATAACTGTGCTCACAAACACGCACAAAAAAATGGATTTTTACCACACCGTCTGATTACACTGCAAAAAACGAAAAAAAAAGCAAAAAAAATAAAGCAAAAAAAAAAAAAAAAGAAAGCCTGGTTCTCCAATTGTACTCATTTTTGGTGCGCATATATCTAAAAGTCACTGGGGTTTCTGAGAAGCAAAGTAAGCTAAGATTGTTTTCAGTGAAACTCGGGTGTCAAAACCAAGTTATTTAATGTCTGAAATTTAATGCCTTAAAATGTAATGTTAAAAAAATGAAGGCGTTTAAAGACTTTGGTAGGCCCCCAAAAAAGCCCTGAGATTTCTATACATGTTATTTTCAAAAGTGGAAAGTTTTACTCACTTAATCCATCCAGAGGTGAAGCCCAGATAAAGGAGTCTGTGAAGAAACAAAACAGCACGTCATAAAATAATTACAATAACGAACCACATTTTACTCATATCTCTCTGATAAACATGAATCGATCATTTGTGACTTTGTTTGACTACATGCATTTAATAACTTTTAATTGTGATTATTTTAAATTCTAAGCTACCTTTAGCCATTTGATTACAACTAAAATAATTTACAGTCAAACTTCCAGCTTGCAGTAGCTTCCTAAAACTATAATTAGCAAAGATGCTATCGCTTTGCATCTGCTACGGGCAGTTATGATGAAACAATGATTAACCATTGAAATTATGCAATACGTGCCCTTTAGCAGGCTTTGGTAAACAAGTAGACAAACCAGGCACAGTACACAGTCATGCAGATCTCAACAACAGCAAAAGAAAAAACACATTTACAAAACATCTCTCCCTGCATTAATCTTTCAGAAATACACCAAATAGGTTTAATCATATACTTAACTTCATATACAGTGAAAGTCAGAAATGTCAGGCCCCCTTTGATTTTTTTTTTCTTTTTTAAATATTTCTCAAATGATGTTTAACAGAGCAAGAAAATTTTCACAGTATGTCTGATAATATTTATTCTTCTGGAGAAAGTCTTATTTGTGTTATTTTAGCTAGAATAAAAGCAGTTTTGAATATTGTAAAAATTATTTTAAGGTCAAAATTATTAGCCCCTTTAAGCTATAGTTTTTTCGTTAGTCTACAGAACAAACCATCGTTATACAATAACTTGCCTAATTACTCTAACCTGCCTAGTTAACCTAGTTAAGCCTTTAAATGTCATTTTAAGCTGTATAGAAGTGTTTTGAAAAGGATCTAGTCAAATATGATTTACCGTCATCATGGCAAAGATAAAATAAATTAGAGGTATTAGAAAAAAATGTATTAAAACTATAATGTTGAGAAATGTGTTGAAAAGAGCTTCTCTCCATTAAACAGAAAATGGGGAAAAAATAAACAGGGGAGGGATAATAATTCAGGGGGCTATCTTCAACTGTATGTGATTGAGTTCACATTTAAAGTGCAATGACCTTTCAGTGCTATATGAATGAAAATAATTTAAAATATGGTATTGTTAATTTAGCACAGTGGTTCCCAAAAGTAGGGGATGGGGTTAGGGGTCGCTTGGAGATTTCTAAAAATCAAATTCATTTTATTAAACTAATATAATGACCACATTTTATCCATATCCTACTGAAGAAAAAAATAGTAGCTAATAGTTACATTAAAAAACAACATGCAAATAAAAAGTCATCATACTTTTGATTTTTTTTTTTTTTTGCGACTCCTGGGGTGATTTACATTATACTAAAGACACAGCACATTGATTTTATAGCACCAGGTTAAACTTTCTGACACCTTTACGGCACTTAAATACATTATAAATAAATAAAGTCCACAACTGAACATGGAGGATGGTCTCCGAGAGGCGTTCTTTAGGATTAAATGATGAATAGACTTAAGCCTGTTTGTATGTGTGCGGTGTTGTGTGCAAGGTTTATATATTTATAGAGGATATTGGAGGTCACCAGCCACTGGCATTGTAATTTTGGGTGTCGCAGGCTGAAAAGTTTGGGAACCCCATGATTTAGCAGATGCTTTTTTTCCAAATTAACTTTCATATGAGCGCCACAATTAAGTAAACAGCATAAGAAGTGCCTGGAATTCAGACTTTTGTGAGGAATTGAGCTCAGTTATAAAAATACAGTATAGTCAAAATTATTATCCAACCTGTGATTTTTTTTTAAATGTTTACTTTCTAAATTTGTTAATAATTCAGAAGTGCTAATAACCCTGACATCAGGTGCTAAGGATGTGGTTAGACTATGCGTTTTTTAAGAAGGCAGGGAAGGTGTGGTTTCCTGCATCTCTGTGAGAGTGAAATCAAAACTTAAACTCCTAAACCTGGACTGACACGGTACCACTTTACTAGAACTTTTAAGCTGCTTTCACAAAATCTGCATTGTAAAAGCGCTTTAGAAACAAACATGAATTTAATTCAATTGAAATCTATGTACTGAAAACAGAATGGGTGTAAAATAGACAAAAAAAACTGAATGCTATGTTTCATGCATGCTATAAGGTAAAACAAAACAATTACAGGATGTAGAATTAGTAACATAAAAGTTGTAGCTGTTTTTTGTTCTCTGCATGCTTTGCTTTACACTTTAATCAAGCGTAAAATTTGGTGCATTTTGTTTTGATAAGAGATCCTGCGGTGTTGCAGTTTTGCTTTTTATTTTTATATTATTGTATATGGTTTAGGCAACACAGTGGCGCAGTAGCAGCGTTTCTGTGCGGAGTTTGCATGTTCTCCCTGTCTTCGTGTGAGTTTCTTCCGGGTGCTCCGGTTTACCCCACAAGTCTAAAGACATGCGCTATAGGTGAATTGGGTAAGCTAAATTGTCCGTAGTGTATGAGTGTGAATGAGTGTGTATGGACGCGACCCCAGTGATCCACTGCGTAAAAACATATGCTGGATAAGTTGGTGGTTCATTCCGCTGTGGCGACCTCAGATTAATAAAGGGACTAAGCCGAAAGAAAATGAATGAATGAATGAAGGTTTATGATATGAATAATACAAATAAACCTGTGATCATCAGTACTAAAAGTATTCTGTAATATTCTCAAGCAGAAATTCAATGATATAGCACAGTGGTTCTCAAACTGTGGTACGTGTACCTCTAGTGGTACGCAGAGTAATCCAATATGTTATAAGTACATGCAACATATATTAAAAAATGTATCTTTAAATATAATAGCTTTTTATAAATTTATATTTATATATAAATATGATGACATACAGCCTATATTTATGAGGTCCAACAGCATTTCCAGGCTTTGATGAATAGGATATTATAGGTTAACACTTTACATTTAATTTTGTTTGTTTTTTACATGTAAACACAGCAGTGTTAATGTTCAAACTATTTATAAGGTTTAAAGTGGCCGATAATAATAAATATTATTAATTATAGTAATAAATCTGCCACGTTTTTAAACTGTGCAGAGCTGTAGCTGCTTAGGCCTACTACGTGATTTTATTTCAATACTGGTCATTTGGTGGTACTTGGAGGGACAATATTTTCTGAGGTGGTACTTGATGAAAAAAGTTAGAGAACCACTGATATTGCAGATAAATAAAGACCTTAATCAGAAATGAGAAACATTCAAATTAAGATTGAGTTAATACATGCATGCATTCAATTTATATTAATTCAGTATAACAATAATTTACCATGTTTGTACAGAACATAATAAAATCTTTAAGTTCTACTAACATAATTTGAGTTTGTTTTCTCATAGATTATTGATTCACACATGTATTCGCTTTTACTCTCTTCAATTTTTCGCACAAAAACCCACTGATGAAACCTATATCATCGCATTCATGATGATTCACTTAAAAAAATAACTCTGTACCATTTTCTTAATGCCTCAATGCAAGCTTGTTTTTATTATCTGGTGCAGAATTGTTGAATTTTTTGTATTGTAATACACTACCGGTCAAAGGTTTGGGGTTCGTAGGATGGTTAAATGTTTTAAAATAAGCTTTTCCTGCTCACTAAAAATGCATTTATTTTATCAAAAATACAGTCAAAATTGTCAAATGTTATAGGACTATAAAATAACTGTTCAATTATAGTTTATCATTTAATGTTATAATTTATTCCAGTGATTTTAATGATGAATTTTTAGCTTCATTAATCCACAAGTCACCCAATCTCTCAGAAATCACTCTAATATGAAATATAATAATAATAATAATAATAATAATAATAATTATTATTATTATTATTATTGTTATTATTATTATTAATAGTAATAAAAGCAATAATGACTGGAGTATTCATTTATTTGAAACCACATAGAATAAAACAGTTATATAAAATGTTTTAATAAACATTTAACAATTTAACCATTTTTTGTGTTAAATAAACGCCGCCTTGATAAACAGAATCAATTTCTTTAAAGACAAAAAGACATGAAAAAAAACTCACCCCAAACTTTTGAGCCATAGTGTACGCTTCCTAATGTCTCTTCAAGAAATGCTTGTAGTACTCTTAAACGTGTCACTCTGTGTAAAAACACTTGCAAATAAATATTTATCGATGTTTTATAAAAAAGTTATTGTCTGCTGATATTACTTAAATGCCCAGCACAACAGAATTAACCCAACAGTGCTTTAAGTAAAAGAAATGTTTATAATATATACAGAAAATCAAAACTAAAAAAAAAAATAAAAATTGTGATAATACAACCTAAAGAACTGTTCCGCAGTTATATTTCACATGTATTTTAGCCATATTTTGAATTATACAATGCTTTGTGTTATGTATTTAAAGTACTGTACAAAGAGAATTATCAGAATATTCCCATTAGAGAATAGACTAATTAAAATAACCTGTTGTTCCAAGATAACATTTTACAATTGAATTCAGCAGGTGAATCAACGCATGCTACAATTCAGTCTACAAAGGTGTTAAAGGAGTGTACAAATGTTATTTTCACACCCACTTTAGACACGACTGTAAGTGACGTTTTAACAACGTGTCATCTACTAACCTAAAACTCAATCCTCTATTAATACTCTAATGAAAGTTACTTAGCATGTGCTTGCAAAGTTGAGTAAATTTAGAAAAATAAAGTGGACTATCAAATTAAAGTTCAACCAAATGAGTACAAATAAGCAGCAAATTATATCTCAACTTAAAAAAATATTTCAACCAGAAAGCCAAAAGATCCAGTAATTACATACCCAGTTAGACAGAAGCCAGTCAGTATGAGTAGAGATAAGACTTTAAGTTTCATTCCTCTTGACTTAAGTATTGTTGCTCTAACAATCTGGATCATGTCAAGGAAAGCAGAGTGTGTTGCAATAATCAGGAAATAACCTTGGTTTATAGAGCTTGCTGTTAGGTGATCATGTGGCCTGCATTGTAAAAAAAAAAAAAAAAAAGACAATATGTTGTCACAACACAAATCGATTAAGTTAACTTTATAGTTTTTAAAAAATTAAGTGAATTGAACATAAAAATGAAAATTGAAAGAACTGTGCGGTTTTAACCTATTTTGATAAGTACTTTGAACAAGCAGCAAAAGTAATTTTAGAGTGTAAAAGATCTGTAAAACCCCAAAAGTAAAGGTAACTCAAACCATTTGAGGGAAATGATTGCAACAAACCATTTAAGTTCAAAAACTATTCCTAATGAGTACTGTGAACTTAATCCATTTGAGTAAATGAAGCAATTTGAGCACAGTAAAATCAGATAATTGAAGAGAACTCAAAACAACCGAGTACTGTAAAACCCAATAAGTTAAGACAACTCAAACTGAGGAAATTGATGGCTACAAACCATTTGAGTTAAAAAACTAATCTAGATGAGTACTGTGAACTTACTCCATTTAAGTTGAAGTAATGAGGAATTTAATTTAAATAAAAATATAAAAATTTATAAAAATATAAAAAAAGAGTTTTGAATTTAAAACTCCTTTTCAAATGAGTAGAATTAACTTTTAGTCAATTTTGAGTAGACTACACTCATTTCATTTGATAAAGTTGACTGTTATCTGTCCTGTGATAATGACCCTATACAATCACATTTTATAGCTGTCTATATTCTGGCTAACAACTATTTAACTCTTGTTAAACATGCATAGCAATATTCATGAAACAGTGAGATGCAGTTTTGGTATACAAACTAATCGTAAAATAGTTACATATTCGTAAAGAAGTTGATGAGTTGGCTAACAGCAATTTCCTCAAAAAAAGAGAGAAAGACATGAAAGCCTTTCTAAACAAACACTTGGATCATGAGATATTGAACATAATGAAACCTCTGCAGAACTTTCATTTCTGCATTTTTGTCATATTTTTTTTTTGTTCCTTTGTATACTATTCATGTTTGATATGATGAGTGAAACACATAATGTTCAAACAAAAGTCATTTAAAGGGTTTGAAAATAATTTTATGTTCCAAAAAAATTAATGACTGAATGAAATCAACGACAGAGCTTTAATTTTTGGATGGAATATCCCTTTAACTAGGTATATAAACGGGTCAGTTTTTGATAAACCTGACATTTTATAAGAGGACACTGCTAAATCTTTTTGACGCAATTTGAGAGGAAGATTTGAGTGCAGTCTGAGAATGAGGGACCCAATCTAAAACTTTAAATATCTGGGTATTTAATATATTAAGCTGTTCATTTAGCCTTCCTACAAGTACACTGTAAAACCTAAAAGTTAAGGTAACTTAAACCTTTTGAGGGAACTGATTGCAACAAACCATTTAAGTTCAAAAACTAATCCTAATGAGTACTGTGGTCTTGATCCATTTGAGTAAATAAAGCAATTTAGGCACAGTAAAACCCAATAAATGAAGAGAACTCAAACCAACTGAGCACTGTAAAAGCCAATAAGTCAAGGCAACTCAAACCATTTGAGGAAACTGATGGCTACAAACCATTTGAGTCAAAAAACTAATCTATACAAATACTGTAAACTACTAGCACACATCTCTGTACACATTCAGGAGAACAGAAACTTGTTAGTGTGGTCGTCTATATTTAGTACTTAAAGGTTCAGGACACCCTGGAGAACTTTTTTTTTTATTTTAACAGATATGTGTGTGTTGAGCATCAGTTAAGACAATGTTAGCACCTGTCAGCTTTAATTGTGGGGAAAACTGGATAATTTTGAGCTTTTGTCAGCTAATTTCAGCTTCCGGGTTTAAAATGATTTTTGGGGCGGGATCAAAATCGGCGACGTATGAAAAGAGCCAGCTGCTTAATTATTCATGAGAGCACGTGCTTTCCGAAGGCAAGGCAGACCTGCCCGTTTCAAGCAAGCTGTGAGACACAGACCAACGGCACGCTGTAGCCGTTCATGAAGGCTCGTATGTGTTTGTTGCATGTTTTTTCCCCGCGATCCTGTCAGGGCCGATCATACAGCAAAGCTGTGTGTGTGCTGCAAGCATTTTTGTCGGGAGAGCAGTGCGAGAATTGAAGATTGGCGGACGTTGACTTTTATCAGGAGTTCGTTCACATTCAGACACATGGCCGTGCTGCTGTGTTTGCCTAAATCCTCTATATTACCAGCAGGGCTAATGGTTAAAATAGACAGGTCAGGAGACCTGCTGCACTGAGTCTGCATTCAAGATCTATAATTTACACACAGTGATCGAGGGAGAATCCTCATTTATAGTGTTTACATGAACACACTTATCTTTATAATGATATAAATTGTGGTTATGTGTATATGAAATTACGAATAACAAATGTAGCAGGGCATTAAATTACTGTTTATTTCTTTGCATTTTACCTTTGTGAACGATAAACTCATGCGTCTCCTCACGGTTTGTGTCTCAGTTTGTGAGCTGTCAACAACAGTTATTCGCTCCCCTTCTCCCCTGCTGGCCACGCCCACTCCTGCCCGATGCTCGCGGAGCTCCACGCCCATTAATCATGCATCTTATGAAAAAATTCTGAAGTAGACTTTAATCTAAAGAGGGGGGTGTCATGGCCCATAAAGGATCCCCCCCCCCCTCCGTTGGTCTTTCAGTTCTAGTTTACCCCAAATAAAAAAAGCAACTTAAATTGGTGTGAAAAGATGTGAGCAGAAAGTATAAAAGTAGACATGACAGAGTGAAGCAGTATAGAAAAAGGACGAGCAAATGGCTTTTGCTGCTTGTTCAAACTACTAATTTAAAATGAGTTTAAAAAACACAATTCTTAAGGCTTTTGGGGACAACTTAATTGTTTTATGTTCAATCCTCCTAAATTTGTAAAAACAATTAAGTTTACTTAATCGATTTGTGTTGGGTCAACATAAATGAATTGTGTGGAACCTAGCATTATTAACAGTGTGTCTTCTGTCAAAGCCCTAAACAGACTCTGACTAAAATTCTGAGGTAAAAGGTGAGGGAAGGTAAGATTTTCATATTTAAGGAGTCCTAATTTTAAAATAATGACACACACGTTCCTAATACAGAAAAGTCATCGTGTTTATAATGTCACACTGCATAATTTTCTAAATAGTCAGATCGTTGCAGTTTTCACACTACGGTATAGCATTCAGTTCCTGTTGTTTTAACACTACACAATTGATCAGTGACAGGAGGATACACACTAAATGACTACTCTCAAAACAATGACAACAAATTTACTAGAACCCCCTCTGCCTGACTCACAAATAAATGAGAATTTATCAGAAAGGGAAATAACAAGACCACAAAGTAAAAGTTTTTTTTTTTTTTTTTTTTACAATTTTCCGTTCAAATGGAAATTTTCATGAATGGTATGTTTCATGACACTTTAGAAATGTGTTGGCACATAACCATGTTCCAATTGTTTGCATCTCTGCATATGTGACATATTAGGCCTGCATTTAGGTTTATTATGGTGTGGTGGATGTAGTTAAACAATTTGATAAATCATCCATTATAAAGATAATGCAGACAAAATGGACAGCAGTGCAGCAGGTCTCTTGCCATGTCTATTTCAACTATTAGCCCTGCCAGTAATCTGTATGATTTTAAACCTAGGCAAACACAGCAGCACGGATATAGATGACGTGTCTAAATGGTAACAAACTCAACTGATAAAAGACAAAGTTTGCTTTTTTTATTGACATTCAACTAAAACAAAATCATATAATGGAAAGTTTCGTGACACTTTAGAAATGTGTTTGCACATAACCTAATTGTTTGTATTTCTGCATATGTGACTTATTAAGCCTGTATTTAGGTTAATTATGGTGTGGTGGAGGGCGTCACAGTAAGAAGGTTGCTGGTTCAAGTCCCGGCTAGGTCAGTTGGCATTTCTGTGTGGAGTTTGCATGTTCTCCCTGTGATAGTGTGTTGGTTTCGTCTGGGTGCTCTGGTTTTCCCCTGACAAGTCTGAAGACATGCGGGACAGGTGAATTGGGTAAGCTAAATTGGCCGTAGTGTGTAAATGCAAAAGTGTATGGGTGTTTTCCAGTGTTGGGTTGCAGCTAGAAGGGCATCTCCTAAGTAAAACATATGCTGGTTCATCTGTGGCAACCCCAGATTAATAAAGGGACTAAGCCGAAAAGAAAATGAATTAATGAATGGTGTGGTGGATTGTAGTTTGCTGCAGCAACCATGACAGTACTTAAGTTTTAAAAGAATGTTCTCTCTCACTGAGAAGTATCAGAAGCAGATATAAAAGGCTAACTTTTTTTTGTTTGTGGTTTTCACATGTACTCACACACGCAAACACACACACACACGCACGCACGCACACATACACGCACACACACGCACACACACAGACACTCTGTAGATACTTGCCATGTCTATTGTTTCGGTTCTTGCATAATATTTCACTAATCCCCTTGCAGAATTCTTTGTGCATTTTACATTTTAGTTTTAAATGAACAATTGATTGCACAAAATTTATTAATATATAGTATAAAATTAATGAATGTTAAAAAACATTAGGTTTTAGTATCTTTAAACATTTGACTTAGAAAATGGAGGCAAACCTGAACCACATTCACACCTACATATAGTTCTATGTGCAGTTTAAAGGATTCCTCAGAAATGTCACAGTGGCGAGCATAAAAGTTTCTGCTGCTTTCACTTTTAACATCGCAACCACCCCAGCAGTTTTTTTATACAGACTAACGTTATACTCTGAACACACACAAATGAGCAAACAACTACTGCAGTGCTTAGAAAATGGTTGGCTATTCTTCAAGATGACATGTATAATGCCTCTATTATGCTATTTTAGATCTTCTGAAGGTTTAACATTATTTTCCATCAAAGGTCAAAAACGCATTTAAAAAAAAAAAGAAAAGAGAAAAAAAAATTTCTCTAAGATTTCGTAGAAGAAGTGAGTCTTCTTTAATCCTCCCTCATGGCCTACACTTTACATAATAGTAATATCTAAACATGATCTGCCAAAATGCTAAATGGTTAGCATATTAGCTTTGGATGGGAGGGAAACTGTGTTTCAAAGCAACGCCTAATAAAATCGTGAACGCGCCCAACGCGACACGACAGCAGGCAACCCACTAGTTTGTCATTCGCCAGTTAAAAGTGTATGTAGTAGTTGGCCCGGCGGTGTGCTGGAATTTCATTTATTACTAAGCCACACTTGCATGCTATTTCAGAGCGAATATTCAGAGTAGCATGGTAAACAATATCGGGAGCACGTCACAGGCTGTCATTGTTCAGAAATGACCCAATGTGAATATAAAAGCAACTGCCTAGCTTTTTCAGCTGGGCAGAATAGCGGTATTCACTGATTTTTTTTGTTAAACTAAATATAAATCTACATTATCGATGCTGTAAAAGGACCTTATGAAACTGAATATAGTCACATCAACTTTTCACCAGGAGATTTCAGTGGCTGAACAACACGTCTGTGCATATAACCCATTTGTAACAACAATTCATAACACAATACACTCTACATCAGCTCTGCGTGAAGCTAAAATAGATTTAAAACAAAGCATTACCTGTCTAACAGGAATACTTCAGCCATGGTGTCTCTAGCGTGCAAAAGTATCTAATATTATATCTAATATTGATTCAGGATTTTCAATTTCAAAGTTTCAATTCAGCATTTGATTTTGCTGCGACTGTGATTGTCTCGTGTGCACGTGTTGCGCTGCGCTCATGCAGGAGTGCACACGCTAATGGCGGATATGCTCAAACAGAGATGCGCAAAAGCCCAAATCTGCATTTGTTGATAGAGAGTTTAAGGTACTTATCGGAATTATAAGTACGGAATTTCTGCCCAACAATGTTTAATTGGATGAACATTTACATTTAGTTTTATTTCTTACCCAGGATATAAAAATGCATATAAACACATTCAGATCATTTACTTTAATCATCACTATTTGATTGTGATGATACTTTTAACCAGCACAGCAACAAATGTTTCTGAAGACAATTACCTACTGCACCTTTAAGTAATGTGTTACGTTATTTTTGTGTTACTTTTTCTGACGTGGCTGAGGCTTAATCTTTTTCAGAACTTGCAAAACTTATTTTATAAAAAGAGAAACAACACACTTTAATCTTCATTTACCTTTAAAAAACACATAAAAAATTAATGTAGGATAATGTTATCTTCTGAGAACCTCCAGACCTCAGAACTATTCTGTATATACAAATTGATGATTAAAGTTTAAAGCAATGCGTTTGCTATTTTTGAACTTTTTGTCTTATTAAAAAGTAACATCACTGTCCATTCAGATAATCCTCTTTTTTCTTTTCTTCCATGTGTTTAGAATAATGAGAACTTTCCATCGCAGAAATGTAAGGCTCTGCCATCTGTCTGTTCATGCATTCTCTCATTGTGTGAGGGATTCAACATGACTACATTCTACATTCTCATTTTAATTTAGCCACATTTTTGAAGCAAGTTAACACAAATTAACTCGTTTCATTTTTTTTAAAGTAACACAAATATTATTTAACTTAATTTTCAAAGTTATGTGTTACTTCTCTCGTTACTTATGCTTAATGCGTTACCCCCAACACTGCATCATATATTATTATCGATTGCCATTTTCACAGCATCATGTTATTTATGTTATTTGCTTTGTAGACAAAGAAAAGAACATTGTGGCAATTTGTGAATTTCCTTTTAAAATGTAGATATTGGTTATCATTTATTTTATATTTCTGAGGGCAAACAAATAAATGTACTGTGAAAATGCAAATGTATGTCTCTTATATTTTACAGAAAACCTTTATGTATTTCAACTTTTGCATCATTTATGATAACTGAAATGACTGTTAAACCAGTGGTGTTTGTGTGATGAGACATACCCATGTACCTCATGATATACATGATCATCTTCAGATTCTCTTCTGACTGGCCAAAGCATCTTTACGCTTGTCATGCAGGCAGTTCATTCTGAACACAACTGGAAGGTCAGAAAAGGAAAAGATGCAACTCTGTAATATTAGGCTCAATCTTCATTGGAACATTTGGCATGAGGAAAACTTCAGAGACTGCACTGTAAGATGAAAAAATAATATTACTTTAATAAGTTATGCCAACCAGTAAAAGTAGTTTGAAAACACTGACCTTTCATTTCTTCAGTGGAACATCTAGAAATATCATTTCCATTTTGGCATTGGAGAATCATGGAGATACAACTGCTGAAATATGTTGGTCAAAACAGCCTTAGTGATCTTGGATAAACATAACATTCCCCTTCTGAGCTTCTGAGAAGAATTTTTTTTTTCATAAATCATTCCCAAATCCTAAAATGAACACATTTTGTTTCATTACATGTCCTTGTCCAAGATCCTGAAAATAATTTAGCCAGACTGCTCCATTTTTGACCATGAGCTTTCACAGTGTAAAAAAAACCTTATCTCAAACGATGAGGGAAAAGGATTACACTACCTGACAAAAGTATTGTCATCCATCCAAGTTTTGGGAACAACATATGATTACTTGACTTCTAGTTGATAATTTGGTATCAGAAGTGGCTTATACGAAAGGCAAAGCCCTCTGAATTAGGAAATACTGAACAGTATAGAATATAAAGTCATTGTGCAGTGGAAAAATAATTAATACTGTGTATGACTCTCATGAGCTTGGAGGACTGCATCCACACATCTCTGCAAGACTCAAATAACTTATTAATAAAGTCATCTGGAATGACAAAGAAAGTGTTCATGCAGGACTCACAGAGTTCATCAAGATTCTTTGAATTCATCTTCAATGCCTCCATCTTTATCCTACCCAAGACATGCTCAGTAATGTTCATGTCTGGTGACTGGGCTGGCCAATCCTGGAGCACCTTGACCTTCTTCGCTTGCAGGAACTTTGATGTGGAGGCTGAAGTATGAGAAGGACTGCTATCCTGTTGATAAATCTGCCCTCTCCTGTGGTTTGTAATGTAAGGGCCAGCACAAATGTCTTGATACCTCAGGCTGATGATGTTACCATCTACTCTGCAGATCTCTCGCACGCCTCAATACTGAATGTAACCCCAAACCATAATTTTTCCTTCACCAGACTGACTTCTGTGAGAATCTTGGGTCCATGTGGGTTCTAGTAGGTCTTCTGCAGTTTTGTGATGATTGGGATGCAGTTCAACAGATGATTCATCTGAAAAATCTACCTTCTGCCACTTCTGCATCTAGAAAGTAAGTAATTATTTGTTGCTCTTATAAAAGCGATCGATGGCAAGACTTTTGTCAGGTAGTGTACACATTATGTGAAATACAATATATCCAGTATTATAACAATCAAGCAAGAACTCAGAGAACTATCAATTTTAATTGGGCCAAAGAACACAATCAAACATTCGAAGAATTCAAACAATCAGTCGTCACTTTACCTATAATCCAAAACAAAATGAGATATTTAATGATTTAATAAGACAAATGGTTACAAAAGTTGAAATCAGAATATATCATTTATACATTTATTAGTAATGCCTGGTTATAATCCTATTGAAATATTTTTTTCTAAATGTTGAAACATCAAAACAATAGACATAAAACAGCTTATTTTATTCACACAGTAAACTGTGTTACGGTTGCATTGATAGCTTGCATGAAAAATGAGATGTAAAATGTTTGAAATATTATTGGCCTCATATAATATTAAAAAGTAAAAGGCAAGAATGGCATTTTGTTACAGTTTAATCTCATGTATCATTCTTTGGGGAATTAAAGGACACATATGTACTATGATCTGTACATTGTTTCTATTAAAATCTATTCCTGATTAGTTTATAACAATTCAAGTAGGTCAGTTTCAATACTGATAATCTCACTTGTTAAAACCCTCTTAAAAAGGTTACTACTACGGTCCATCTTTCTGATGGCCTTTGACTTCAGGTGGTATGATGTCTGCTGTGGTTTAAAGCTCGATGTCGCCTTTTCCTGATCTCAATTTCATCATCCTGTTTAAAAGTTAAAAAACCATAAGTATTGTGATTAACCATAATACAATTTACAAACACACACACACATATTTCCATTTATCTTACTGTATCAGCTGTATCTGCAGTCTCTTCTTCTTCATCCTCATCTTCTTGGGCATCACTGTGTTCGCTGTTTGGATTGGACAGATCGAAGTCTGACAGCACTGCATCTTCATCATAGTCTGTCTGGTACTCGGACTCCTCTGTGTGTGTCAGAATGTAAGAAACAGTACAAAATGAGAGAATGACATGAAAGAAAGGACATTTATTATTATGGCCTATTCCTCACCATCCACAACGGCCTGCTTAACTGGCTCTATCCGGGATACTATTTCTGCCAGATCAGTGAAAGAAGCATTTGGACATGTCGCCTGAATGACAAAAAAACACAGAATTTATATCATTATTAGTATTTAATTTATTAGTATTCTTACTTCTGGACGCTCTGAAAGTGCTGTTGTTGGATTTTGGGGAAGAATTTTTATTTAAATTAACAAATATATTGCTTTGAGTCAAATGTTTTAATGCAGATTTCTGCTTGACACTATTGTGATCAAGTATAGGATTTAATTTAACCAACATGACATTTACATTTGTACTCAAATTGCAATAAAAAATATGTAGGATTAAACAAGTTGAAAAGAGCTAAGTTACATTGGTGCTCCTGGATTTGTGGAATTCCTCTTGATGCTGGTCCTTCATTATCGTTTCTCGCACTCCACTCCGACACCACACATCAAACACGGTCTTCCCATGCTGGAAACCAACGTCCTACAATAACAAAAATATAATTTCCAGAGTCAAAGCCAAGTCAAGTGAAGTTTTCGTGAAAGGATGTTTGGAGACTCACAGCAATCTCATCAAATTTGCCAAAGTCCAAAGTGCCATAGCGATCTATGGGCGGTCGCAGGTACTCGCAGTAATCACTGTCTTTGACCAGCTCAAGCTGACGCACAGAACACACATACGCCAGGCGGGTCTGAATCTCTGCCATGTTCAACACCTGGAGGATATGAAAAAAGAAGAGCTGTGTTCAGTGAATGTTGGAATGCAATATTTTTTTTTATTTCACAAAAGCTTAAAAATGGAATAATAATAGCAGTTAATTAAATAAAAGAAAACATATAAAATAAAAATAAATTATATATATATATATATATATATATATATATATATATATATATATATATATATATATAATTTTTTAATAATAATTCTTTATTATAATTTAGGCTTTATTATTTTAATTTTTTTTAAAGTTTGTGTACTTTGTCTGTATGTCAAAAGGCCAATAAATACGAAGGTGGTGTGTTAACTAACTAAATATGTCAAACAAAGGAATTAAAAATCATGGAATAAATTGCCTTTAAAATATACAGTATTTAATGTATTTTAAATATATACACAACACGTTTTATATTTAATTTATATGTGATATTTGATATACAAATGTATGAAAGTAACTAATCTATATGCAAATGTATTTTTTCTTTACTTTTTAAAGGCACAGTATGTATTTTCACCACAAGAGGGTGCGTTTTCACAACAAACAAAGGCATAGTTTGATGATGCTGTGACAGTGTGGGGAATCATGTGATCTGTCATCTTCATTACATGACGTCATAACATGGCAACACAGGACATGGTCTGTATCACCACTTAAAAATTCTCTGGATTTGAACATTCTTTGACACATTTAGGACAATGCAAGTACATTGCAAGAACACTGTTCTAGTGGTTTATGGATATTTTAATGAAACTAAAACTTGCATATTGTGCTTTAATCCCTTATAAAAAGCACAAGTAAAATCAAATAAGAATAAACTGCGCACACACAATTTATGGATTTTCCATAAACACAAATTACAGATATGATTGAATACTCTTATTAAACTCCTTATTTAGTCATCACCATATACCTGACCTTCACTTTTTCTGCCAGTGGGTTCAAGCGTTTCCAAAGCAGCCACCATCCAGATAAAGAGTCTCCATAGTTAGTGAGATCAGTTTCATCCTGACTGCCCACATCAACTGCAATCACCAGCTTGGCACCCATCGAACGAGCTGTGTCAGCTTTGCAGAAATGTAAAAAAGATAATGTCAAAAACTCCCCAACATCTTCACAATTAGCCAACACCGGCTCATTATGGATATGTGCCCCTGTATACATTTCTGGACAGTGTGCAATGCATCCTAGGAGGTACTTTTTTGTGCAGTTTTTGTTTCCACAAATTCGACAGAAGCCGCTTTGTATGTTTTTTTTTAGATCTCAAATTTCTCTAACGAGTGCCATTCGCTCCTCCTCTTCTCTTGTAAATTCACGAGAGGCCACTGTCCATTGACTGACTGACCCATCCTCTTTCCTAAACCAAACTAATAAGTGTTTATTGTTTGCTTTTTTTTTTGTTTTCCCTGCTTTATGGAACTGTTCTTCACCGGACTCGAACCCTGTCGTCACAGTCAACTCTTCTCTTTAACTCAAGTCAGCCGACATATGAGGCGAGCTACTGGGCAAACAGGTAATAGCAGAAAACACGTCCACACAGAGGTAAGCGGTCAGCTGGTAGCGTGAAAAGAAAAATAGGCCAACAGTGGTGTCATACCACCCTGTAGCGTTCGTTATAAAAACAAAATGCAGCCATATTTACCTCTGGCTACATAACTCATGCTCTCCAGAAATGTATATGGGGTACGTATTCACAATGAGCCTGTGTTGCAACTATCAGCTTAGAGACAGATTAAAGTATAATCCATTGTATAACAGGCAATCATATTAAATGGCCAACTGCTGTACACATTCTATACAGATCATGATTCCTCATGTGAGTGGTAAATAACTGAAGATGTAAAATAAAAATAAGATGCTAATGGCAAAATTGTAGAAATCTGAAAGCACACTGAACCCGGAAGGTTATTGATGTAGCCTCCATCCATGAGCAAATGGCCATCTTTAGGGTCACATAATGGAGGAAGATATCCAGAAAGAGACATACTGGCCCGAACATACCTCCACAGAGAGCCTAAAATATGGAGACTAGATGTTAAAATTAGTCACAAAGAATAAGCGATGGGAAGATATTGAGATCTGAAGTAACCATCAGTGTGGACTCTCATGGAGGAGGCTGTGATGTCTGTGGTGATGTTGAAATATGGGATCCAAAGGTCCTGCAAATATATAAGAGATATGAATAATTTTATACTTAATTAAAGGGATTTTTCACCAAAAAATGAACCCCCCTTTTAAAATTCTTACACTAAACTTTAATAAAGTTATTTATTTTGGTAAACACAAAAGAAGATTACAGAGAATGCTGGAGAAAATCGGCCATTATCATTTATAATAGGAATAAAGACACTATGGAAGTCAATGGCTGCTTTTTCCATCATTTTATCTGAAATAGCCATTGGGTAAATGATGACAGAATTAAAATTTTTGGGTGAACTATCCCTTTAAGATTATGACTTGATATAATTAAGTCTGTAATAGCTTGTTTTTGTGTAGTATGAATCATCATTCCACTCAACCTCAATCTGTTTGTCCTGGAAGAGTGTGCCAATGCTGGAGTTAAATGATGCTCCAGTGAACATGGAGGTCACCGGGTAGGTCAAATCGGTGATCTTCTTAAATATGGATCCAAAATCCTGTAGCAAAAACAAAGAAAGAAATCTTCTTGATAGTCTTGACACGTATGAATGCTGGTGTTCGGTACATAAAGGTCTCACCATTGCCCACTGGCGTGCCCTAACCGTCATGCGACTGACGCTACGCTCTTCAGCATATAGAGCTCCTATCAATGAACCAATGGAAGTGCCGCCGATCAGATCCACAGGGATTCCTGCCTCGCTCATTGCACGAATGATGCCCACCTGTGAGCAGCCTCTGTGGGTATAGTGTGTTTACATATTCATACATGAGCTTAGACAATACTTATGCATTATGTGATATTAGTATGTTTATAAAGCATTTTTAAAGGTGAAGAGAGTCATTTATTATTGTCATACCTGTCTTATACATAAAATAGCTAAAATTCAGTCATACATAATATGACTTCCTTAACAAGTGTGTACTTACTTTAGAGATACAAGTGTTTATTACATTACGTTCTAGTACTTATTTAGTAGCTTGTACATTTTTTAAATACATTTTTTCATTATTGATTGCATAATACTACTTATTATATACCTGTACAGCCACTTATTTGTTATATACTAGAATCTATTAAAGATAACAGTAACTGTAGTATGATTACTACCTATACATTTATTACTTGTTATTATTTGTTAAAGACTAGAATCTATTATATACACCATGCCTCAAAAAAAATATATGTCATACGAAAATAAGACTGCTTATCGCACTACAGGAATAAGAATGGCTGCATTTCGTACAGAAATAACAGCACAATTTATGCATTAGAATAATCCTTTTATTTACTTTTCTTAGCAATGACCTAATGATAGCGTAATGATGACAAATTAATTTTTAGCTGCAAAAGGCTTCAATAAAATGGTGTTTTTGAATAAAGATAAAAGTTTGATTAAAGGTTTACGAGAACTGAAAGGCTACAGTGCTTCACATTTTCTTCGTATCATTCTGACTAAACACTGGACTAAAGGTGGATTGGATTATTTGTTGGCAAAAAATGATCGCACTGGATCAGTATGTCATGTGGTGGGGAGTGATGACACACACTGCCCGTGCAGTTGAAAATATCACCACTTCCAAAAAGACACAAAAGAAGAAGAAGAAGAAGAAGAAGAAAAAGAAGAAGATGGTAATGCAGTGATATAAATCAGGTGAGGTGAAAAACATATAAAAATCATATAATTTCATCTATCTGCCATCTAATTACAAAATATAATTAAAGTTGGAGGCATTTTAACGAATTTCTAACTGAATTAATTTTGCTTGGATTTTTTTGAGACATGGTGTAGATACCAGCTCTTATTCATTAGTGACTTGTGCCTAATTTAATAGTGACTACCAAGTAAAACATCTAACAAACAAGTGCTATTATCTAATAACTAACTTTTTTGTAAAGTTTACAGTATTACTGGCAATTTTGGTGTGAATTTGGTAAGTTTTACAGCTTGTAAAACTGACAGTATTACTTATTTTTACAGTATTACTGGCAAAATTTATAAGCACTATGTAAATTAACAATTACAACTATACTGTAGTTTAATTGTTAATCCACATTGCACTTGTAAATTTTACAGTATAACTGACAACTAAAATTGACAATAATACTGTAAATTTACAGCATTTTTGTTTACAGTGTACAACAATCTAATTAATGTGTACTAGTAGTAGAAGTTGCATTTGATAAAATGGAATGTGTGTATCTATCTAATGAATATGCACTAGAACCTGAGACAAAGAACTAAAGAAGACAACGAATAAGTACTAGTTATTTATGGAACAGATAAAAGTACGTAAAAATAAGGGTAACACTTTAATTTAGGTTATGTAAAGCACTAAATTAGACAATGAATAAGTACTAGTAATTCATTGAACAGATAAAAGTACCTAAAATAAGAGTAAGATTTCAATTTAGGTGATGTAGTTACAGGCTACATGCACTTACTATAGTAAATACAATGAATTATGCATAGTTACATGTAACTAATCCTAAACCTGACACACATTTTAACCCCAACCATATAGGCGTAAAGTACATGTAAGTAATTATTAATACTCAATAGTTTAATGAATAGTTACACTGTAATTATATCTCCTTAATACAAAGTAACTAAAATAAGTACTAGAAACGTAAAAGCAGATACTAGTATAAACTTTAGTCTTGCCATATACTTCACCTTTAAACATACTTCATATGTAATCAAAGTTTTACAATGTCTAGATTACAAGAATATAAGTTCAAAGAAACACTATTATATATAGCATACCCTTAATATAATTTCAATGACAGAATCTAACACACATCTGAAAAATGAGGTCACTAGTATAAGTAGATTAGACAGAATATACATGCCCCTTGTATATCATGTTTTGACCCACCTTTTAAAAGTCGCTGATTACGACTGATAGCAGGCAGGGACAGAGAGCAGACAAAGAGTCTCTATCATCGAGAGAAAACCACAGACATGCTGATGTTGTCAAGCCCCCAAACAACACTAATGGGTTAGAAACGGCTATATTAGGATTAGTTGATGGGCACAAAATTACAAAATGATTCTAAGTGGATTCCATGTTTTAATAATGAAAACTATAAATATCAAGAAACTAATGAACTACAGATGATTGAAGATGTTTGGGGGGGAATAAAAATCAATGTTCCACTAACATGCTTTTACTAGATTATTTATGTGAGAAGGGTTGTTGGCAGCAGGCCACAGGGATTGGGGAGGAATAGGATTATTGGTGATGAATGGGAGGACAGATTTGTACCTGGCTCCTCCTCCGCCCAGCACCAGAGCGATGGCGTTGCCTGTCAGGATTCGAGCCAGACGTGAGAAGTCAGAATGCCGGTCGGGAGGCTTCTCAAATACTCGCTGATACATCTCTCTCTGATAGGAAGACAGGAAAGTGGGAGTTATGTATGGATAAGAAATGATCGTGATTAGATGAGATCATACAGAGAAAAGTTTTGAAGTACGTGCATTTGCCTTACAATTAAAGTTGATGGGGGCCAGGGCCTGTTTTACAGAAAGCACATATAGTTTAATTTATGTGCATGAAGATTTGAAAAGTCATGAATGATCTATAGTCTCGTAATAACCCCTGTTATAAATCTAGTACACATTTCATTGAGTGCCCTATTGACCTTATTCTAAAATGCGGAAGTGCGCCTGTTTTCGCGATTGTCTTAGAACTTCCGATTCAGTCGCCTATGGGAGAAATGACTAGGAATAATAAACGGCAGAAAATGGCCAAACTACTTGCTCAACAAACAAATGTTTCCATGACTACACAGACCAAGTAGCATAATATAATAAGAAAATATTAAATTGCAACATCAAGCAGCGTAACGAGCAGTTGTTAACGTCAAAAAATGAATGGAAGTGAATGTGACCGGAAGTCGCGAGACAAAAAGATTCAAATGGCTGCGCCCACTCGTCAGCTGAGAATAAGGTGAATAAGGACAATAATATGTCATTTTTATTTTTAATATGCATATACTAGGTATTAGTTTGATTGTTTTATGCATTTTGTATACAAAGTGTTTTTTAAATAAAAACACTAATATGACTAATTTGTACAGTGCTCAGCATAAATAAGTACACCCCTTAAAGATCTATCTTTTTAATTTATATTTTAATAGGAAGCAATACAATATTATATTGTGCTTATACATTAGATTAGTCAGTACTGAAGCCAAATCTGGAGCTTATCTAACAAAATAACTCATGATAACGGTTCTAAAACTAGTACACCCAAATGTATATGTTATATGAGGACAAAATCAAGAGAAGAAAAAAAAAAAGGAAACATTTAATTGGAATTTTGTAGGTTGTAATTTTTTTTGCAATATTTTGCTTGAATTTAATTGTATTATCTTTCAATTTCTAAATATATTTGAAAATACATTGTCTATATTCTATGAGAGATGGATAAAAACATTCATTTTCAAACTGCTGATCTACTGGGATTTTCACGCACAACCATCTCTAGGGTTTATAGAGAATGGTCCAAAAAAGAGAAATTGCCCAGTGAGCACCAGTTTTGTGGGTGCAAATGCCTTGTTGATGCCAGAGGTCAAAAGATAATGGCCAGACTGGTTCCAACTGATAGAAAGATAACAGTAACTCAGATAACCACTCTTTACAAGGAAAAAATGGGGTTCAACCCAGTACTAGTATGGTTCAAGTTCAAGTTCATTTATTTATAGAGCGCATTTGAAAAAAGTCGCAAGACTGACCAAAGTGCTGTACAAGTCAAAGTAAAATAAAAAGACAGAAAATAAAAACATAGAAATAAGACAAGAGAAATGACTGAAAAAATTCAAAAAGGCTTTTAAAACTAAATTAAAAAGCCAAGCTAAATAAGTAAGTTTTTAGGAGTGATTTAAAAATAGATAGTGATAGAGCCATTTTAATCCCAAGGGGCAAAGTGTTTCTATAACTGAGAACAAGCCACAGAGAAAGCTTTGACCCCTCTAAGTTTCAGTCTGGACTGAGGAACTAAAAGAAGAGTTTAAACACTTGATCTAGGAGATTTCACGGGAGTGTAAAAAGGCAACAGCTCTGAGAGGTAGGTTGGGACTAGAATGTAAAGGGGTTTCAATACCAGTAAAAGCACTTTAAAATCAATTCTAATTTGGATGGGCAGCCAATGGAGGCATCTTAGAAGAGGGGTAATGTGGTCATATTTCCTACTATTACAAATGAATCTAGCAGCAGCGTTTTGCGCCAACTGACCACGAGAAATTTGAGATTTTAAATTCTACAGTAAAGTGTATTGCAGTAGTTTAACCGTGACGTAATAAAAGCGTGGACGGCTATCTCTAGTGTGGTGGGATTTAGGAAATGTTTGACTTTGGACAGGAAGCGGAGTTGATAAAAACTGGAGCCAATATCCGAACTGATGTGTTTGTCTAGTTTCAATAACTCATCAAGTAAGGTGTACCTAATAAAGCGGCCGGTGATTGTTTAATATACTTGCCTGGACAAAATTCTGGCAAACACAAATTGTGCTTTAGAGTGCGAAAATATGGTTTTATTTCTTAAGCACCAGCAACCCATAGTATACATTGGAAAACTGAAGTTTCCTTATTTCCTTTGGCTTGATATTAGCATTCACTTTTGCAATAACACTATAATGGCACAATATTTTGGTACCAATTTGGGCAGACTCCTCCTGGAGAAGACCCTGTGAGGACAGGACAGGTGCAGATGTCGTGAGATCCAGCTGCGCATGTTAAGCCATTCTACAGTTCCAGCGGGTGGAGGCCCGTCCTCACGGTGCAGCAGAACCAGCTGCTTCTGAGCTCTCACAGCACTGCTCTCCAGCATACGCTCCAGCTTTACACAACAAACACAGCCAACAAGCTCAGTTTACCAAATAGTCTAATAGAAACACATGTGCAGAATTAATTCAACTACTGTACATATCAGCACCTGTGAGGCAACTCATTTCATTTAAAACAAACCAGTTTTATCAGGTTATTGTGAGTTTGCATCAATTCAAAAACATTTCAAAACAATTCACCTCTCCCACAGTGGGCTCTTGTTCTCCCAGACCCACGATGATGATGCAGTCTGCCTGTCGAATGCACCGTTGAGTCCATGGAGTCAGAGAACCATCAGATTGATATAAAACAATGCGGTGGATGTCCTCTTGTTGACCCAGCCAGCTTGACAAACGATACTCGTGAACACTGAGAAGAAAATAATATAGAATCAAATAAACAGTACATCAGAGGAGATCAAAAGACAATGTTTGACTAACGTGACTGGGAAAAGCATACTCTGGTTCCCAATTTGCACACATTCAACCATAGTTTATAAACAGCATGTCAAAGGCGATGTATGGTTTCCAGTAAGTGTATTTACAAACTGTGCATCTTTTTCAGTCAGCGATGGCCACAATTATTTGCAGTTCTCTTGCTGACTTCTACTGAGGAGGTTATTATACTGTCCAGGGGGCCCAGAAACCATACTAGCACACCTAATTATGATGGAAATCAGCATCTTTCAATTTTGGAAAAGACATGAGAGACTATTTTCGTCTTTCAAATTTGTGGATTGTTTAGAGTTTGTGGACATGGTGTTTGTTTTATAGAGCAAATTTATCTTACTTGCATTTTTCGTTCAGCTTTTTGTTAACATAGCTTAGTGTTGACATTCTGTGTACAGAGTGCATACAATAAATATGGTATTCATGGTATATATATATATATATATATATATATATATATATATATATATATATATATATAAAATATAAAATATAAAATCAATAATCAAAAATATACATATTTATATATGCATGCATAAGGATAGTGCCTATTTTAAATATTTATAATTTCTGAGAGACGTCTGTGGTCATTAGCCTGTCATTGAGCAGAGCAAAGATGGTTGACGTTGTCCATCCACATAATGGCGATAGAGAACGCATAATTCAATTTAATTCATGTTTATTTATATAGCACTTTTCACAATGTATAGTGTGTCAAAGCAGCTTAACAATTCTAGTAAAGTCCAGATTTCAGTTCAGTTGAAGTTTAGTTCAGTGTGATTTAGGTTTAATTTAATTTAATTAAAGCTCTTAGAAGATGAAACAGCGTAATTTCTAACTACAACTGATTAAATCATTATTAAACATGAAAGGGACATTTTTAAGTTGATCTCTCTCTTTTGTATATTGTAGTGCTGTATTTATACCATATAACTGTAGTGTATTTAGTGTGAGATGGGACTCTCAGGAATGTATTTTGTGTTGGCCACTCTTTTCAAAACCCTGAGTTACTTTTTGTTTGGCCATCTGTTTGTTTTAAATGAGCCTCCTGTTTTCGTTATAAATATCCTGTTTCGTTGAAATATTAATTTCATGCCATTCAGCCTTATAATCTTAAGATTCTAATATCTTCACTTTAGACATTATGCTAGAGATTCATTCAAACACTATCTCTAAAGTGACATTGGCGAAGTAGCAACAGCTTCTGCTGTTCTGTCTTTTGCCGCAGATGTGAAGGAATGGCTGAAAGATTGAAGAAAGTAGTTCCTCATACAAAAAGATTTTTAGACTCTCCGTGTTTGATTTTTTGTTTTATATACATGATTGTCGTTGAACTGTTGTATAAATGCAATATCACACGGGTAGCAGTGCAATGTGGCTGTATTTCATCACTGGTGGAACACTGGTAGTATACCTCCCACCAGTGCCGATATATATATAATAAATAATAAATAATAAATAATTATTTTTTGGGGATATTTGATTTTATATTTTAGATTGTTTTAAAATATATAAAATTATATATAATTCATAATAGTTATATATATATATATATAAATATATATATATATATATATATATATATATAATATATATTAATAATAATTATATTATATATTAATAATAATAATAATTTTTTTTAATAATTGTTTTATTTATTTATTTATTTTTTTGATAGAATACAGCAAATTTACATTTTTTTACTCAAACCCACTTTTAATAAGTCTCACACTTGAGTTGGTCTCTCAAGTGATCTCTTTATTTATTTCTATGCCTGAACATAATAAAAATAATTTTGTCCGAATTATCAGTGAGGTAATATGTTTTTTTTTTTTATCTCTTGCACTGTATGCATCTCTTACCTGTCCAAGGCAGCAACACCCAGGCGCTGTCTGATAATGTCACTGGTTAGAAGCAAAGTGGGACCTATTCAAATTAATTAACACAATTAAGCGAGTTATCAGTGTTAGCTGAATTTAGAAGCAAATTAAACAGGAGAAAAAAAGACTATGCATACCAATAGCACTGAGAGCATGCTGCAGCTCCAGTGTGAAGGCAGTCAGTGGCACTTCCTCAGACACAGGCAGAATGGTGACCGTCGACAGATTGGCAGCTGGATTACCTGCGTCCCACTTACTGGTTGGGGAGTGAAAACCCAGACTGCGCACTGTGGAGATCATCATCAATGTGGGGAAAATACAAAGCACAAGCGCATACAAATGTTTCACAAACACTCACCTGAGAGTGGACCATTCACTTGCTGCATGTTCCCCAAGATCTTCTGGCCAAGAAGGTGAATCAGACGAGTCACAACCTATGAAAGAGTTTAATATGTCAACATACTGCATATACTGTACACTACATGTAATTGTGTAAAATGTGCAAAATACTTTCCATACTTTAAGTCTACTTTTTAGTCCAAATATCAAAAACTGTTTAAATCATTTTCTAAGCAAGCAAAAATGCTGTCTTGATTCCAGATGTTATATATCAAAATCAGGTCAGTTTTTAATTAAAACAAGCAAAATAATCTGCCAATGGGGTAAGCAAACTAATTTTATTTCAAAGCAAAAATGAGAAGAATTTTCTTGCCCCACTTCCAGATTTAACCTATTTTAGGGAAAAACTCACTTAATTTAGACTAATTATTTCTGAGAACAAGACAATATGATTTGCTTGCCTAGAAAATGCTTCTTGATATAAGAATTTGTAGATATTTGGACTAAAAACAAGACAAAAAAAGTTTGTTGGTGAAATGTGTTGAAGAGTTTTAATGAACTAACCTGTGGATATTTCCTCTTAATAGAATTGAGAGCTCCTTCAGGCAGTTTGGCCAGTTCAGAGTCTCGGACTGCGTGGACTGTAGTGGCTCTGTTCAGATGAGTCAAAGCTTCCACCTACACCAACAAACACTGATGAAAACAGATAAAAACTACAGCAGAATTTGTTCAAAAACCCTGAAACTGATGTGAAATTATTGTCTTTCCTGTGATTAAATACTTATTAAAATCATTTTATATTAAGTGTAAGTTACAAGCTAAAAAAGCTGGTACTAGCTAATGCAACTCATTAGCAAGCGGAGAAATGAAGAAATGCTAATTTTAGAGAACATTTAGTTGCACAAGTCAGTTAATTTATGTGTACATCCCATAAAACGAGATAGTTTCATCAATATGGGTAATTTTACCCTGTAAAGAAATAACACACAATTTAAAACTACCATGTAAAAGTTTCAACTTTTAAAAGTATATTAGCATATCAGACTAAGTAACAAGAAACTCAAGTGAAAGTATAAATTAATACAATTAGTACTAGTTCCAAGTCCTAGAATATTAGAAACATACATATATTTATAAGCACTCACCACACCGATGAGGTCTCCCCGTCCATACTCTCCAGCCAGCTCTTTCTTCCCATCATCCTTCATGATGACAGAACGCAATCGCCCACTCAGAACAATGAAAGTGCTGTCTGACTTATCACCTTGTCTGAGAAAGACAAAAAAAAAAATCTAAGCAATACATGCAATAATTACATGCCATCTCAAGTTATTTCAAAGTCAGAGAGATCTGACACTGAAAGACTGCATGGGAAAGTGTGCTGACCTGTAGACAGCTCGTCCAGCCTCCAGTGCCATCCAATCCAGAGCAAAGTCGATCTGTCTGACAAATGAGGAGACCCTCCGCACCACTGTGTGAGCTACATTCAACACCATTCGAGGTTCGGCACGCATTATCCTAGCATCCAAGTCACACAGTTCACATTAAACAGCATTCTGACATTTTTAACAAAGTGTTTCTAATAGCTGTCATTTAATTCTGTATTTATTATTTATATTACAAGTGGGTTATGACCAAAGAAAAGAAATGTCTTTATTATTTTAGTAACACTTTAGTTTAGGTCACAATTCAGGGCAGCAACAAAACATTAACTAACACTGCTAGCTTAACAAACTACTAATCAGCTGTTTATTAATAGTTAGTTAGGTAGAAGTTAGGTTAAGGTTTTGGGTATGATTAGGAAACCAGAATAAAATCATGCTTATAACTACTTATGAACAGTTAATAACTTAATAATAGGCAGGTAATAAGCAAGTAGTTAATTGCATGAATTGTGATATACTAAAGTATTATCATCAAATGAAACATTTTCCTCTTTATTTAACACAGCAAAGTGCATTATGATACATTTTCCCTTACAGCTGCGAATCAGTACAGAATTTTCTATTGCACAGTGTGACATTTGCACATCACATACTCATAGAAGTGTGTTTTGGAGATAGACAGGAAGCAGCAGTCACGCTGGGCGCGCACAGAAAAGATGAGAGGCTCTCCAGTGAGAACAGCCAGGTGGCCCACCATCTCTCCAGGGTGGGCCACAAACAGACATGATTGCTCTTCTCTGTCAATCAGTCTCTGGTACACATGAAGCGTTCCAGAGATGACAAACTGCACGCTTACATCCTGTCACATAAATACACAAAGGATAAACATTGACATGATATAGTTTAATAGACCATTGCTAAAACTGAAGAGGTTCAAAAGTACCTGATCTCCCTCACTTGCAACCACAGAGCCCGCCTTTACTTGTCTCAGTGTCACCCGATCTTCCAGAAGATTGGGATCCTAGTGTGTAAAAATTAATACATAGGAGAACAATAAAATCAATGTCAATACTCCAAATATAAGTTATATTAACTGTTCTGATTTAGAAGAACATTGTAATTATAATATACACTTAATACACTGTATTGAACATGTACACATAGACATCACCTATGTATTATGACAGTGTTTCCCAACCCTGTTCCTGGAGGCACACCAACAGTACATATTTTGGATGTCTTACTTATCTAACCCATTCAGTTGAGGTTTTGGAGTCTCTTCTGAGGTTCTGATGAGTTAATTGAGGTGTGGTTAATGGGATATATGCGGAAGTATGCAAAAGGACTTGTAATTGGTCAGTTACCTGTGTAAAGCACTTCTGGTAAACTGTATTCAGTTACAAAATCAGTGCGTTTAATGTCGGTTTTCTTTAAAAATCAGTGATCTCCACTGCCTGAGTGATATGCAATATAAATTGGGTCTCAAAATGTACACGAAGCACTGCATTAAATGACATTTTTCCTCAACCTTGCCTTTAAAATATGAACATTTATTTTACCCCATTATATTTAATGGAGCTTCTGCGCTAGCCTGCTGATTCTGATGGGCGTGTGCGTGTCAACGGCTTTTCATCTCGTTTTACGCTTGAACAACTAAATGAATGGCTGATTTATTTAACTGATTATATTTTAATTATATTACAACACCGATGCTGTAAAAGGAACCGTATAAAATGGAAAGTCACATTAATCGCTCACTGGTCTAGAAGTTTATCAGTATGGGAAGAAACACTAGCTCTGCATATACCCTATAGGAAGAGGTTAAAAACATGTACTATTGGTGTGCCTAAAGGAACAGGGTTAGAAAACACAAATATATAACTTCAGGCTAACTAAGTTTATTATGTAATAACTTTAAGTAAGTAAGTAAAGGTTTATTTATATAGCACCTTTCCCAGACATTGAGTCACAAAGTGCTTTACAATAAGAGAAAACAAGTAAAAGAACACAGGACAATAAACAAAGACATGTTAAAACCTTTTAAAACTAATTAAAAATCCAAATACAGAAAAACTAATACTGTTAATTAAAAGCTTGACCAAAAAGGTGTGTCTTTAAATGCTTTTTAAAAAGTTCAACTGATCCCAGAGTTCTTAGTGCTAGCAGGAGAGAGTTCCAGAGCCGTGGGGCCACCACACGAGAGGGCACGGTCACCTTTAGTCTTAAGAAGAGTACTGGGAATGGCTAAAAGGTCTTTGCCAGAAGACCTCAGAGACCGGCTGCATGAGTGACTGCTTAAAAGATCTCGAATATATAGGGGTGCTTGACCATGCAGAGCTCTATATGTAATGACCACTTTACATATAGAGCTAACAAGAGATAAATAACTTGAACAGTCAAAAGCTATTAGCTACTAGTTAATTAGTTAAAGTAATTAGTAACTAATAAAGTTTTGGTAACTAAGGCTACGTTCACACTGCAAGCAAATGTGGCACATATCTGATTTTTTTAATTTTTTTTGCCCACATGTGACTCAGATCTGTTTTTGTTTTGACCGTGTGAACAGCCCAAACCCCATGAAATCTGATCTTCTTCATTCAGATGTGTGCCACTTTCATATGTAGTATCAAATTAGATAAAAAATTGATGTTTTGCAAAGCGATCGCAGTGTGAACAGTTAAGTAGAATTTCATGTGACTTTTACACAATCTTCGATCAGCATGCGTCATCATTCAGCTCTGCAAACATCCTCAACTCCTCAGCCATATAGTAGAATAGCACACAGGGCAAATACTTTACTATAAAAACTGGTTGTTCATTTAAAAAAAATCAAACAAACAAAATAATAAACTGGCGCATATTAAACAAATCAATAACCATCAACCTTTTAAAAAAATTTATCAGTTAGATTTAACATGAAAAATAACATGTCAACAAAAATTGCATATATAAAATTAATAAAACACATAGGCCTACAAAAGATAGCGATATTTCACTTAAATAATTATTACATTAACAAAACCAAATATAAAATGCTATGAAATGAAAATGATACGAATATGAAAACTCTGCCTTCACAGTTCAATCTGCGGCTGTTCATTAACCTATGATGAGTAAAAATTTAAATCGAATTAAATAAATATTGCGGCTTGACCTGGAGTTGGATAATCTTTAGCAGGTCCCTCTTGGCAGCTTGGAAAATGGCATTAACTTTACTATGGTGGATGTGGCTGGAGTGCCCTCCGGTGTCCGAGTAGTGAAACACGGCTGAAGGAGAATGATGCATTGTCACAGACTTCTTCCGGTTTGACTTTTGACAGGATGAGAGACAACCAATGTTAGATGTACAAAATAGGAACATATCTGAGGACAGGTCTTTATAGTATTTTTTGTATGTGATGCCAATGTACCTTCTGTATGGCAATAGGACTTGAAGGGGCTTCTTTGCTTGATCTGTCAAAGGTCATATTGTGGTCGGGAGATCCAGCTGTAAATTAAGCACACATTACCACACTTAAAATATCTATTATTAATTTATTCAAGATTGAGAATCATTATATGTGTGGACAAACAAGTAAAGCCATACCGTGTGTACTTTCTAAAGGTGTTGACAGTGAGCGAGACTTCCTGAATAAAGTCGTCGGACTCTCTGTACAATTGAGCTTTCCACAATCTGAAGTGTAATAATAGATATGTTTGAACAGAATTATACTGAAAATCAAGCTACACCACAAAAGTCCAAAACCATCAGCCATTTTTTTAGCTATTATTATAGCAATTGTTATATTTTTTTCCCAATTTCGGTATAACGGAGAGATTTTTTCAACGCATTTATTTGATTTATGATTAATTTAACATTTTTACATCTTACATTTTACAAACATATCAAACAACCCGAAAAGAAATAATAATAAAAACAATTATAAATGCAAAAAAAAAATACTAAGAAATAAATGTAAACAATAATAAAATATAACTCAATTACACACAACTAAATGCGGGGAAGATGTCTACATTTATACAACAATCTCAATGTAATACGAATAATGAAAGATTTTAAACTGATGTTTTATAATTGTCAAGAGCTAGCAAGGGTGATCATTCTAGACCCAGCTGGAGAGTTTCAACATAAGAAAAAAAACAAAAAGGCTTTCAAATTTTAACAAACGTTCTGTTATGTCTTTGAAGGGAGCATCTAATCTTCTCTAGTTTCACAAAATACAAAACCTCTATCAGCCACATGCGAGGGTGGCTGGGGGCTCTTCCAGTTAAATAAAATTACACGCCTAGCAAGCAGAGTAAGAAAGGCCACAGAGTTTAAAAAGTAAGTGGGTAATGTATAATTATCAGGCATCACACCAAACAGGCCAATATTAGGTGATGGTTCTATATCTATAGAAGGGATGGCTGAAAGAGAGAAAAATACTAAGCCCCAGAATGTTCAACATATTTCAAAACATAATTGTTTTAATAACTGATTTCTAATAACTGATTTATTTTATCTTTGCCATGATGACAGTAAATAATATTTGACTAGATATTTTTTCAAGATGCTAATATTCAGCTCAAAGTAAATCATGTTAACTAGTTAGGGTAATTAAGCAAGTTGTTGTATAATGTTGGTTTGTTCTGTAGACAATCTAAAGAAATATATAGCATAAGGGGCTAATATAATTGATCTTAAAGTGTTTTTTTTATTAAAAACTTTTATTTTAGTAGAAATAAAACAAATGAGACTTTCTCCAGACAAAAAAAAAATATTGTAGGAAATCGTTGCTCTGTTAAACATAATTTAGCAAATATTTGGAAAAAAGAGAAAGGAAAAAAATAAACAAATTACAGGAGGATGAATAATTTTGACTTCAACTATACCTTCTCTGGACATGTGACTTGTGTCACTGTAATGGTCTGAAGATCTCTGTGGGACTTTGTCAGACACGTCTTCATTTGTCTGCGAGTGTCTGCGCGGCCCTCTGCCTTGACCAGCCTCTCCTACAACACCGGCCACTGACACCAGAGGAACAGCCTGACTTTCCTGCACAGTGATGGAGTTTACATCTTATATACACTAATAAATACTGTAAAATATCTTCCGTAAGTAGAGCGTGATTTATAAAAATCTAACCGGATTGAAAAGTTCTGTGGTCAGGCCCAGATAGTTGTGAAGGGCAAGAAAGGTAACTCTCTGAAGACGCACCATGATGATCTAAAAAAAGAAAGAAAAACATAATGCGTCATATATAGAATAAATCAAATAAATGCTGTTATTTTGCACTTTCCATTCATCAAAGAATCCAGAAATAAATATTTTACATTTTTTTTACTCATGTGATATTGTATTTATACAAAAGTTCGATGGCATAATCTTGTGTATAAAAAAAATATCAAAACATGAAGTGTCTAAAAACCCTTTTGTATAAGGAACTACCTTCTTCAGCCATTCCTTCACATCTGCAGCTGACATCAGAACAGAAACTGTTGCTACTTCAAAAACTTTTTTTTAGAGCTAGTATTCTAATGATTCTCTAGTGTAATGTCTAAAGTGATGACAAAACAGGTGATTTTGCTGACATTTTAAGATTATAAGGCTGAACTGCATGAAACGCCATCAGTCTACAGAGATCTCCCAGTATATCCCTTTTGCAATCGGAATATCACAATAATTAACCCAGAAAAAACCAAAGCAACGCAAACATTACCAGATTACTGTTGTGTTTGTGATAAGGAAAAACGTTAAACACCAAAAAGTAACTCAGGGTTATACAAAGAGTGGCCAACACAAAATATATTCCTGATATGCGAGTCCCATTTCACACTCAATACACTAAAATTACTATGGTATAAATACAGCAATGCAACATACAAAAAAAACTGTTTTGCTCTCCTCAATGACAGGCTAATGGCCTCTGAAGCAAAGTCTTTTCAAAATTAAGAAAAAAAAATTAAAACAGGCACTATCTTTATAAATAAACTGCATAGTTGCAATCCTAACAACTACATTCTTAACTAAAAACGTCTCAAAATACATTATGTTGTCCAACAGCAGCAATATTTGTCAAACTGTAGGGTGTCCTCTGCTTGTCGCAGTATGTGGGCGGAGTAATACACAGGGTGAAGAGTAAAGAGGCTGGACAAGTGCTGTTATTTGCAGAATATAGCATGGCTGGATTTAAGAACCAGACAGAACTGTTGATAAATTAAAATAGAAATAAATTGTAAAACCTTTATGTAATATATCAAATAAATAGATGTGATGTATTACCATATTACTGATTTGACTGCATTAATAGGCTTAACTCATCCTTGTGAGAATAGGAAAATCCAAAGATTTTACTTTAGTGTATTTTAGGTTTTACCTGAACGACTCGGACTAGGGTTTCTGGGTATTTATCAAAAACAGACTGGAAGGCCTGAGCGGGGAGACGGAGAACAGTAGTTGGGATAGCAGCCCTTGCAGAGACAGTTTTATACGGAGCTGGATATCCCTGCAGAATAAGGAGTTCAGAAGTAAGACATAATTACAAACTATGCAAGCATTAACAGGTCACAGAACAGATATTTGCAAATTAAAGTGGTAAAAACAAGAACAGATGGGTTTTACAGTGATGACGTCGAGGATGCTGAGAAGACTGTGAACACTGTCTCCAGGTAAAACATGCTTCACCACAACATCAGTCCCATCCTGAGACAGAAAAATACAAATACATTTAGATGCTCAGTAATAACATATTAAAAATAACTATTTATTTAGTAGGACAGTTGCAGGAGAATGTTTGGCGCTCACATTCTCATGAATACACAGATCGAGACGGCCATCCTGCACCACAAAGATGCTGTCATCAGTATCACCTGGGCGAAACAACCCTTCTCCTTGCTGCAGCTGAACAAACACCATATGCCGACACAGTTCCAGGAACAGAGGCTTCTCAAAATGACCCAGAACCCTGAGAGGCACACAGACCACAGACATTCAAACTTCCTTGCCAAACCAGGTTTTGTGCTTTGCACATTATGAATAAAGAATGAATTGCTCTTTGTTGATGACATGGCAAAGTACCAACCTCACATTTTTCAGCATGTACAGGACTTCAGAGGGCAGATGAGAGTTTTGCATATCAAATTCAGTCAGATCTGCTTCCAGGAGTGAAGGCGGAGGCTCTTTGGGCTGCAGGGTTGGTGGCTCTCTTCGGATACGCAGGATTCTGATTAAGAGATGGACAGGATATCTAAACAGGTTTTCTTTCTGATGTGTGTTTTTTCTGTAGCTGTGACATACTTGCGAGCTATTGATAGCACCTTTGTTCTTTTCCTGGTTCGCTTTTGAGATACTGGACCCGAGGTGGGAGGCGAGGACAAGGTCTGGACCTGAATAGCCACAAATAACAAAAGGGCATACCTTCACATGACTTTTAGAGGCTTTGTTTACTCCTGGTTTTAAGATTTGTTTTTGTCAATCTGATCACAAGCAGACAGCAGTAAATACAAGTGAGACTAAAACATTTGAACACTTCCAGATTTAACAATATTCCTTTTATAGTGTATTTACAGCTGGAAAAATAACACATTGTTTTTTCCTGAAAATAATATTTATAAAGGAGCTGTTGACATGGAATTGAACCAGATTTTTGCAAAAAAAATAAAAAACAAAAAAAAACAAACAAACATAAAAATAAAAATAAAACACAAAAAAATCTAAAAAAATTAAATAAAAATAAATAAAATTGTTATGTGTAATAACAATAGAAGGACACAAGAACTAAAACTTATTTAATATTTTATATATAAAGCTTTTTTGTTGATGGCAGCTTAATGGCGCCTTTTAAATGGAGAATGAAGTCACATGAAATGCTCAGGTTTGAGTTTTTCACAGACAGAGTGTAAAAAATCTTGATGGTTCTGTGGGTCTCGTCAATTAAATCTGAGCTTTAATTTGTGTTTTCTATTGGATTCAAGTTAAGTGATTGGCTGGGCTATTCTACAGCTTGATTTTCCTTCTCTGAAAGCATTTGAGAGTTTTCTTGGCTGTGTTTTGAATCCTTGTCATGCTGAAATGTCCATTCTGATTTCGTCTTCAGCATCCTGCTAATGTAGATGCTGGACTGAAGCAGCTAATATTTATTTACAATGACGAAGGGCAGAGGGTTGCTGAAGAACTACTGAAAGACTTCAGCTGCTGTCTGAGCTTTCACTGTCTTTCTACAGCTCCCTTTCTTCATGTGTTCAATGCTCATTTCATTTTATCATGCATAACTTGATTTGTAAACTAATTAGATGTGTTTTCTTTGCATATTTTAATTTCTTTGGTTGTTAACAACAGTTGGGGAAATTTTCACATCAAAGGCACCTTCAGAAATATGCTTTCTGAGAAAAATGGTGACGTGTTCAATACTTATTTTCCTCACTGTATAAGGTTGAATGCTTCTGAACGACCACCAAAAAAAAAAATAATAATACTCTTCACCTACTGACATACAGTATTTTTTAAACTTTATAGGTCGTTAAAGCTCTCTGGTCAGACAGGGTTTAAACTTTGCTGTCAGAAATAGTACATGTAATGAAAAAACATCGAGTTTAAAGTATAAAATTGGGAGTATTTTTTGTTGTTGTCTTGTTTCACATTCAAATATAAACAGACTGAGCCTATTTTCAATATTTTGCATGGAAAGAACAAACAAGTCTTAACATACAAGCACCATTTTAAAAAAATAAATCAGGAAAGTGGTCAAATGTGGAATAGAGGAGCCAGATGTTTCAATGTTTCTCCCTTGTCTGCTAGTGATCTGATTAACCGAAAGCATTTTGATTTCAGGACCATATTAAACACTAGTACCTTCCTCATTATCTTCCTGCCATAAAACAACACTTTGTCTCTTTTTCTGAAACGATATTTAGGACCTTCAGATTGACCTTCTCCTGAAAAAACAAAACAATACAGCTGATGAAACACTCAAATGTCAAAATACACAATACAGCATACACATACTAATGGTCTAGATCAGTGGTTCTCAAACTGTGGTACGTATAGCAATAGTGGTACACAGACTTCGTTCTAGTGGTACACAGAGGGATGAAATATGTCATGTACATGCTACATTTATTTTAAAATTTATCAAAAATGATGTATATAATATGCCATATATGACATATAGCCTATATTTTTTGAGGTAATCTGTCACGTTTTTTAACTGTGCAGAGCTGTAGCTGCTTTACTAGGCCTACTACGCTACTTTCAATACTGCTCATTTTGGTGGTACTTGGAGAGACAATTTTTTTTTTTTTTCTGAGGTGGTACTTGATAAAAAAAAGTTTAAGAACCACTGGTCTAGATTATGCTAATTAAACAAATAAAAAAAAATAAATCCTGTAAATCAGGCGTGTCCAAACTACGGCCCGCGGGCCATCTGCGGCCCGCAATCAGTTTTGTGGCGGCCCGCGAGGCTTTTTATAAATATCAATAGAATCTGGCCCGCTATACAAAAATGAACGTAATTCAATAAATAACCACCGGGTGTCGCTATTACATGCATTCAATTAAGCAGCAGTTCTTGTTATGATCTATCTGTCTGTCTGTCTGTCTGTCTGTCTGTCTGTCTATCTATCTACACACAGTTGAAGTCTGAATTATTAGCCCCTCTTTGATTTATTTCTTCTTTTTTAAATATTTCCCAAATGATTTTTAACAGAGCAAGGAAATTTTTACAGTATGTCTGATAATATTTTTTCTTTTGGAGAAAGACTTTTGTTTTATTTCGGCTAGAATAAAAAGCGGTTTAAATTTTTTTATGAACCATTTTAAGGTCAAAATTATTAGCCCCTTAAGTCTTCAGAACAAACCATTGTTATAAAATAACTTGCCTAATTACCTTAACTTGACTAGTTAACTTGATTAACCTAGTTAAGCCTTTAAATGTCACTTTAAGCTGTATAGAAGTGTCTTAAAAATATCTAGTCAAATATTATTTACTGTCATCATGGCAAAGATAAAATAAATCAGTTATTAGAAATGAGTTACTAAAACTAATATGTTTAGAAATGTGTGGAAAAAAATCTTCTCTCCGTTAAACAGAAATTGGGGAAAAAATAAACGGGGGCTAATAATTTAGGGGGGCTAACAATTCTGACTTCAACTGTATTTATATATATATATATATATATATATATATATATATATATATATATATATATATATATATATATATATATATATATATATATGTGTGTGTCTGTGTGATGTATGTAAAATTTGGCCCGCGACAACGTTTGTTTTTTTGCATCTGGCCCTCGGCCCAAAAAGTTTGGACACCCCTGCTGTAAATGATAATCATTACACACTTACCAGCCTTGTGTCTTCTGTAAAAGAATAAGGCAAAAATACTTAGAATTGAAACTGCAACTGCAGCTCCGATCAGCACACCAGTCCACTGCATTGTGAAATGAGAACAAATAAATAGCGTAATACCTCTGCAAAACTATCAGTATGGAAAATTGATTCACATGGGAATAAATTACAGTAATATACCATGGTGGTGTGTAACTGATCCTCGATGAAGTGTTGCACACGAGCCTTGATTTCATGACCAGATGGCACCTAGAAGAAGAGATAAAAATATAACAAAATCAAAATCATAATTGTACACAATAGAGCAATTGACAACAGCTAAAATAAAGGTCACTGGTTCAATCTCTGGTCTCAATCTCTTCTGATTTCATCAAGGAAATGGACAATCTTTCTAATCACAGCCTTGCCCAATCACTTCAGTGGGTACATGCTTTTGGACAAAGTCCAGCTTACTCTAATGGAGTTGTTTTTTCAATTAAGCTTATGTCAAGTTAGCTAAGTTCGAAAGCAGATTTATTGCGAATAAATAGCATGCATTTATTTATTTTAATTTAAAAAAGACTCACTGATACACATTTGCACTGTCGTTAGCCATTAGTTTAAAATCAAAAACTCCACATTGAAATAACTTACCAAAGATCTGCATGTATCATCTTGTTCTTCATTTTCCATAATGTCTAGTTAAAATAAAATACAACAGAAATAAAGACATCTGGTACTAATGAAATCTGAACTACTCTGAAAAAAAGATTCATTGGATATACTCCCCTTTTTTTAAGGTAAGTGGTTTCAAACAAATTTTTTTGGGCTGAATTTAAACAAACAACTTAAGTTGAACATTAGTAAATTTTATTTATTTGTTTAAATTCAGCCCAGCCTTTGATGAATTGTTTGCAAAAATTTAGCAAAAGTAATTTTTTCAGTGTTTAAAAACTATATTTAAACATCTTCTTTTTATTATTTTCATTTTTATAGGATGCTATACAATATCTTATTAATTACATCTTATGTAATATCGTATTAATTTAAATTTAAAATGAAATAAATAATTTAAATGAAACTCAATGAAAGACCCCTTAATCTTGGATGACCCGTTGATGGGTAAATTGAGAGCAAATTTTCATTATTGTGTGAACAATTTCAAGTCAAACTTTATTTTTTAGAGCACTTTACAAACACATAAGTGAGCCCAAGTGCTGTAAAGAAAATAAACAATAAAATAAGTATAATAGTTTATAAAATACATAAAATACAACATAAATATAGCTAAACTACCTAAAAAGGCACATAAATTAAAACAACCAGGTATTAAGATCAGGTGTCAAATGCCAACGAAAACAAATGAGTTTTAAGAGCTGATTTAAATGAGAACACAGAAGAGGCCTGTCTAATGGGGAGTGGCAAATCATTCCAAAGTCAAGAACCCACCACAGTGAAAGCACGATCCCCTCTTTGTGTACGCTTTGTTTTTGGCACAATCAGGAGATGCTGATCAGCTGACCTGAGAGAATGAGTGGGCTTGTAGCGATGTATCAGCTCAGAGAAATAAGGTGAGGCAAGACCCATTTATTTATACCCTATTTAGAGATTTAAAAGCAAATAAAAGACTCTTAAACTATTCTAAAAGGAACTGTCAAGCAATGAAGCGAAGCCAACACTGGGAAAATGTGGTCATATATGCGAGTACCAGTTAACAGGTGTGCTGCAGCATTTTGCACAAATTTGCAAACATTTTCCCCACATACAGTGCATTACAGTAATCTAACCAAGTGGTCACAAAAGCATAAATCACTGTCTCAAACTGTTGTTTTGGTATACATTTCTTTTTTTTTTGCTAATTGTCTTAATTAAAAAGGCTAGATTTAACTACCGCTCTAATCTGATTGTCAAATGTAAAGTCTGAGTCAAATCTCATTGTGTATGTACTGTACATGCATAAACCTCAGAGACCACTAAGTATTAAAAGATTAAAATACTTTTCTAAAAGGCAGACCCCCCAGGTCCACAACCTCCCACCAAAAAAGAGAAAATCAACAGCTCAAATTCCAAATTGTGTCATAGCACACGGTGTGAAGGGAACATCTTTGCAATTTGAAGCCCACACCATGTCAACATGGCCAAAGCTGACTTCGTTACTGACTGCTTAGAATCTAATTTAGCAACTGTTTCACCTGTAATGTTTCTTCACCAACATGTTTAATGATGACAACATTTCAAAAGGTACAAAAAGAACATGGCAAGGAAAAAAGTCAAAAGACTGTAGACAACTGAACCATCTGACACAGCCAGGCTGCCCTCCCTCACTGCAATGTGACACCCCGTGATTTATGATTTATGAGACCCTCGGCCAGGGAGAAAAAGTCAAACACACACAACACAGACGCCGAAACTTCCATTGTAAGTGTGAAAATGAGTTTGTCATTGTTTCAGAATAGGCTGCTGGATGGATGTGACTTAAGGTCAGAGGTAAATAAACACAATTGCGTGGTTTATGCAATGCTGTAAACACGCAATGTAAACAAGTACTGTAACTAGCAAATACACACAATACGCGACTGTACACGCGGAGACACTTCATGCAAATAAAGCCAACAAAAAGATGAAAAAATACCTTGGGAGCAGCTTTTCCAAACTCTGTTTTTGTCACTCTGTGCACTTTGGAGTCTCCCAGGGATTCCATTCACAATGTCAGTCTCCTACAGATAACACGTGTTGCCAGATCCAGCAAGAAAATGATTAAAATTGACTTGTTTGAAGGTATATTTCACGTATTTTGCTTTATTATTCATAATGGTAGGAATCTCTCAATTCGTTTATGGATCTGATTTTCTATTTACCACTAGTTGAGGAAAGCTCAAGGGGTACAAGGTAAAAAAAGGCAAAAGCGTCTTAAAAACAAGCGGACATGGCAACATAGTCAATGCAAAACAGCGTGTCAGTATTCGTTTCCTCTATTGGTTGGTGCTACGCTGATTTGACCAATCACTGTTGGCTTCCTTTTTACGCTCAACGTGGGAATACAGTGAGCTTGAATAAGCGACAGCACTCGATTCAAGGTTAGTATGCGTTTAATTGATTAATTCATCAGGTTTATCTACGTTATATGTGGCATTATATTCAGGGTTTTATCGGTATGTCTGAAAAGATAAGCTATAGTTCTGTAAGTTAATAGCTTTCATTCTTCATTTCAAACCAGCATTCTGAAGCATGGAATGCATCAAGACGACCTTTAACGTTACACCATGTTATTAATACCATTTTTGCTAACTTTCTTTGTTGTTTGTTTCCAAGAAACAAAATGTATTGATAAGCTCAGGTTTTATTAAAGATCGACAATGTTTACATTAACTACCGTTACAGTAAAGCTGCACATGGATCATTAGCATCTACAGTTATTACTGTAAAATCGTAGATTGAGGTAACTTAAAAGTTGCTTTTTATATTTACACATTCTGACTTTCTCAATACTATACGTTAATTTAGGAAAAGTATTCTTAGCAGATTCTAAATAAGGAAATCATTAGCATCCAATGACCATCAAAGTACAACATCGTTCACAGTCAATTTAATTGCGCTAATTAATGCTGTTTTAATAGGGACCGTTAAAATGAAGGAATGTGCGAATATAAAACCAACTTTACCTCAATAAATCTTAGTTCATAATATTGGTTTTCACTTCAACAATTTGTGGCAAAGTAACGTTAGTGCTATTAATGCAGTTATTTAGATACTAATAACAAAAATCTTGTTACTTGTATTACAATATCATGTAGTGTAAAATGCAGAAATAGTGTCAAAACGTGTAACAAGTTATGTTAATAAGTAACGTACTGTTCTGTTAGTGATTGTTTTATATTTCTAATGATACTAATAATTACTAATAGCCAGGGCCAGACAGAATCTGCGGACATTTTTGCCAGTTCTGTGGAGAATTTCGTAAAAAAAAAAAACTGCAGATTTATGCAGAATTATTTTGGGAGTATCATAACTAAACACTTAATATATGAAATAAAAAATACAAGCTTTTTAACTTTTATTTAATGTTTACAATGCAAATCCATCTAGATCAACTTATTTGTTAAACAAAGCAAGTCTATCATTTATCTACTAAAAGACAGAAAACATTACTTTACAAACTGTATTGTAAATAAATGAAATGAACACTTTTATATTAGTCAATATTATTAGTGAATTTGATAATAAAAAAAACTATAAATATATATTTACACACATTTACATAAGTAAATGCATGGTATCAATGATGGGCAAAACAATCTGTGGAAATCAGCACATGCAGTTTCTGTGTGGGCCTATTAATAACTAATAATACTATTATTACTAACAATACTAACTATTTTAATATTTCTGCAAGTATATTTTAAAAAGTGAGATTGCTTGAAGTACAGTTGCAGAAATTATTTTATTAAATTAGTTAAAATGATTATTGAACATTACTGAAACAATGACTTGTGCAACACACAGTTAAAAATAGTTATATTAAAATATATTAAATAATTTATTACAATATTAATAAAATAGGTAATACCAACATTTCTAATTTTAAATATTAAAGCAACTATTAAATACTAAAATATTTCTGTAATGTAATTATATTGTAAACAACTGTATTTAATTGTTTTACAAGGAATATCATGAGATTACTTAATTTGTAACTAATAAAATAATGGTTTCCTCCAATCAGGTCAGTGGTGCAGATAAATCACTCTGAAATGGGGGTGCTGTCTGCGCTGGCGCGGGGGTTTGTGAGAGGAGCGGACCGAATGGCGGAGTGGACTAGTAAACGTGGACCCAGGACATTCTACAAGAGCCGTGGAGCAAGACCCACTGGGATAGTCACCTCCAGCAGAAAGTTCATACCTATTCGAGCCATGATCCCAGAGTTTGTGGTACCCAATCTGGAAGGATTTAACCTAAAAGCCTATGTGTCCTACAAAACTCCAGCAGGGACGGAGGAGCCCATGACCCCAGAGAAGCTCTTCAATGAAGTGGTGGCCCCGCAGATCCAGAGGGACATTGAGGAAGGAGTTTTCAGTGAGGACAATCTGGAGAAATACGGACTGGAGAAAACTCAAGAGGGGAAGCTCTTCAAACTGCACCCCAAGAACTTTGCGCGTTAAGTGAACTTGATTTGTCTTGGACTGTAAATAAGTGTGTGATGTTTTAAAGAACAGAAGACATCACAGAGTAAACATTATTTTGTAAATCTCCCAGTCAGTAAATAATTAAAATATGCTGGAATGGAAAATGTTTGTTTTGGGATCTATAGAAATGTTAAAGTCCACAAGAAATCAAAGCTAACCATATTGAATTGGTTGGCTCATATTGCTAGTTTTGTGGTGAACAATTTATCCGTGCATGTCATTAAGACAAAAAATGGTTTGCTCTTCTAATCTTGAACTGAAACCTGAAAATGCACTTCCTGTTTGTTTTTAGTTAAATTGTCAGATTACGTCTGTCTGAGGTAATGGGTGTGGCTAACATTTAACCACGCTGCTCCAACTGTCAGTTTTGACAACAAACAGAAATGGTGAAGAGGAGGAGTCTGTTAGTTTGTAATAACTCTCCCCAAACCCTTTGCGCCATCTTTCTGACTGAAATGCCTACTTTACTACATCCGTTCAGCCCATGGTAGAAAAACGAGCCTCGCCCACTCGTGTCATTTAATATTCCGTTTCTCTAGAAACTGCGTCACAATATGAAAAAAATAACGGTCGCAGCTTTCTGTTCATGGGAACTTCAATAGAGTGAAAAAAATAGTTAACATTAGTTAATGCACTGTGGTGTGGCTGAATCACTATTATTCCATCTCAAAAAATTAACAAAAGTTAATTTATTAACTTTTATTTATAACCTATTTATATACATAAACATTTTGTTTAATTATCTTTCTTTTAATAATATTTGTTTTTAATTTTTTTTGTAGAAAAAAATCCTTAGTGTTTAGTAGGGATCATGTGCGATAAATCAAAATCGAATCGCAATTTAAAACGTTGCAATAAGCTAAATTGCAAGAGGCTGCGGTATGGAATATATATATATATATATATATATATATATATATATATATATATATATATATATATATAATATTGAAATATACATAACTATTGTACTATTTCCCCCACCCTCACAATACTGTGTGTGACAGTAATACTATCCAATTGAGTGAGCACACTTTTGTTCTGCCCAATCAAAATTGCGTGACTGAACTATGCAGAAAGCCCAAAATAAAACAGGAAAACACTAACAAGTGGGATGATGCCGTCTGCCTCTTCAAAATAATTAATAGACTAATTCATATAGAAAAACCACATGTCGCTAAAATGGGAATATCTTGGTTTCAAAGTCACAGACATCGAACAAAAACAGGTAATTTGTAAGAGCTGTTGCAGAATTGTTGCCACAACATGAAAAAATACAACAACCAACACCTAAAAAATGCACCACAGCATGAGGAGTGTCTTGCTAAAAAGTCAACCATTGGCAGTGACACTTAATCTAGTAGCAAGCAACAGCAAAGTACAATTTCGGAGTTGTTTGCAGCTGTTACACCATATGAAAAAACATCACGAAAGCACCAGGAGATAACTAACGCTATAAACTACTACTGTATGCTCTAGAGAAAAATTAGTGTTTAATTTCTGAATGTTTATAAACAAATTTGAATAAAAGTTGGAGTTAGTTAATTTCTTTTCAGTTCCTTTTTTAAACTAACACTCACTGCATTTTAGCAGTAAGAAGCTATGATACAGAATATTGAGCTGAAGCTTGCCTACAAAATTAATCGCAAAAATAAATAAATAAAATAAACTTGCAATTAGATATTTTAACCAAATCCCACAGCCCAAGTGTTTAGCCTTGTGTAAGTCTAAAATTTTATTCATTACGGTTTAAAAAAAGAAAAAGCTAATTTAGAAATTCTGATTTAGATTATTCATTGTTAGTTTGTGTTTACTAATGCATTATCTGATAGTGGTAACAAATGGGAACTCATTATAAATTAGTAAATACAAAAATGTAGATCAAAATAAGTAAATAAAAAAAATACTACAATGATTAGGAAAAGAAAATTTAAAACAATCTACATTTTCATAGTATAGTTGAAAACGGTATTAACACCTAACAATTTTTAATTCAGATTAATAAAGAGACTAAGCTAAAAAGAAAATGAATGAAAACTTTTAATTCATTTAATGGCTTTTAAATAACTAAAAAATCCCTGCCCTAGAGAAACATATTTCTATATAAATTCAAATAAATGAGTACACAGTACTTTAATATAGATATAGTTTATTTGTTATAAAAGATCTAGATCTCAGTGTCAATTAAATTGGAGCCATAACCACTAGAAAAAAATGGCCTGTAAATATTCTGGCCAAGAATATATAGTCAGCAAATGACAGGAATAAAGCAATATTGCATACATTAAATACAAAGCAATGCTTCAGTCACCTGAATGTGCAGCTCCAAACAAGCTCATTTTTATAGGCTTTCGTGTTTTTCCTCTGGGCTCCAATCCCACCGCCACACATGCATCATGTGGTCGTAGAAGGAGCAGGTGGCTATCAGACAGGACACAGAGTCCCGGGCATCGCTGGTGAACAGGTCTGAAACTGAGCTCTTTTCTGGTGAAGGACACTGGTCAGGTATGTAGCGACCGGAGTCATCCTCTAGAGATGTGTCGAAGCTGGCAGTGGGTGATTCATACTGGATCCTGAGGTGACCTGTGGACTCGACGAGCCCTGAGCTGGTTTGTGGAGGTTCTTGAGGAGAGGGGGGTGCAGAGGAGCTCACAGGGAGTCTGGACCAGTCTGCTCCATATGCTAAAGAGTTGTGAAGAATATAGGACCCTAGAACTGGACATGGTGTCTCTTGTCCTTCTACAAACAGATAAAGTAGAAAAAGTTGAAGTTAAACTTATAAAAATTAGTTAAATTCAAAATCAAGCACTATTTCAATCTACTGTAGGAGGCCATATAACACACTACATTTCGTACCAATTTATCCCTGCATCCAAATGTGCCTAACAGCATAATTACAGAGCCTTACACATGTCATTGAATAAAATAAATAATAAAATGTGAGCGTGATTTATTTATTGCATCCCTCTGTTTAACTAAAGCACGTACATGATTTACTAATTTGGTTCCATTGTTTTCAGTATACTGTATATGTTCTTCTATGTCAGCATTTCTCAATCCTGGTCCTCGAATTACTTTACAAAACAGAAATGTAATTGCTAAACTATACTATAAAAAGAAGTCCAACAAGTGGACATGGAGTACAACTAATTAATATTTTGTCTTTATGATTTATCTAGAATAAATGGCATGAATTTTTATAATCAAGCAAACAATTTATTTCAAATAAGGGAACTTACAGTAAGTAAATTTTGTGCACGACAGTGAATTGAAGGAGCGACTTAATAAAGCTTATGCACAACTTAAAATGAGGGAACAAATGAATAAATCATGCCCACAATCTAATACAGGGTATATAGGAATCCAATAATAAAATACATTACATTTTAAGTCCTATTTTAAGACTTTTTCCATACATTTATTAGACCTCATCACCGAAATTTTAACTTGCAGTATATTTACTACATACTGATGATAAGAAAGGTTTAATCCTAAACTAAAACATTATTCATAAACTAAATCAGTGTTTCTCAACCACATTTCTGGAGGCCAATAGCTCTGCACATTTTCCATGTCTCTTTAATCAAACACAACTTATTCAGATTATCAGCTTATTTCATGTATGGGACTCCGTACACAACATACACAGTATTTGGCAAAAATAAATAAATAAAATAGTATGCTGGTCATATAGTAAGTTCTAATTCATAATACTTATAAAACAGTAGGCAAAAAGCCAGATAAGCTACATTACTACTTCCAGTGAGACTGATGGAGAAAGTCTTGTTTTTGATGCTGCAGTTGTGTATAATGTTGATACTCTTGATAGTGTGAGGTTCAATTAATTAGTAAAAAAAAAAACTGTGAAAACATCACTAGTGTCAAATATTGCTACATTTTGTTTTAATATGTTATTTATTTACATGATGGCAAAGGTAAATTGTTTCTCCAGTCTTCAGTGTCACATGATCAGAAATCATTCTGATAAGATGCTTTAATGTCAATGTAACACTTCATGTCATCATCAGTGTTGTGTGCCTGAATATTGTGGAACGTATGATCCATTTTTTCCCCAGTGTTCTTTAAATAACAAAAAGAATTCATTTGAAATGCTTAAATTGCGGCAGCACGGTGGCGCAGTGGGTAACATGTTCGCCTCACAGCAAGAAGGTCGCTGGTTCAAGCCTCTGTTGGGTCAGTTGGCGTTTCTGTGTGGAGTTTGCATGTTTTAGGTGAATGCATGGTTTAGGTGCATGGTACAGGTGAATTGGGTAAGCTAAATTATCCATAGTGTAAGTCTGTGAATGAGTTTGTGTGGTTGTTTCCCAGTGATGGGTTGCGGCTGGAGGACATCCGCTGCAAAAAACATATGCTGGATAAGTTGGCGGTTCATTTCGCTGTGGCGACCCCAGACTAATAAAGGGACTGAGGCAAAAAAAATAAATGAATGAATGCTGAAATTGAAAACTTATTTCAATGATGAATCTCCTTATGGTCAATTTTACTGATATTTTAAAATCTTACTGATATTTTTTACTGACATGGAAAGATCAGTGGCAGTAGTTCTTACCCAAAGCTTTCTGGCAGTATAGAATCTGGAAGTCATTATGCATGCATGCAGCAAGCAGCAGGTGCTCTTGACTGGGGTGCCACTTGAGTCTCCACACTCCTCCACCCACAGCAGTCTCACTCAGGGGCTGCTTCATGTTTCTCCCATCCCACAGCAACACATTCTCATCATAGCTGCAAAACAGGGACATTATGCATTTATTAAGGGTGTTTTCAAACCATAATTTGCCATGTTGACCAACAGAAAGCTGGCTGATTTGAAAGCATTCTCTGTATAAACGGAGTAAATATATATTTTTTTGCCTATGAAGTTTTGCAGATGTAAAAGCACCTTAAATCAGATGTTGAGGAATGACAGTAAAATCAACATCTTCCTTCTGACTGGCATACTAAATTTTTTCTCTGCTTTTTTTAAAAATCTTTTGTAAAAATGTGAAATGTGTTTTTAGCTGTTGGAGCAAATATAACAATGCAGGAATAATAAACAAAATCAGTCTGTCTGTCTATAATGGCCTGCTATATACCCATGTGAAGTGATTGCCACTGTCTTTTACACTAATTTGACTTCTTACCTTCCTGTGGCCAGTATGTGCTCTCGATGAGGGTTACTGTGTATGCTGCAAACCCCCATAGTGTGCCTGTGACAGGAAAGCAGTATTTATTCACAACGATTGTGCATAAACAGCATTAAACAGGCATAGAGAACATTTAAACAGTGATTCGGTAAAGGGTAAAAGTAAAGTTGATGGATGACAAATCATATTAACTCCTGTCTGACCTTTTGCTGGTGAAAGTAGGGGAAGAGCAACCCATTCTCAGATCCCAGCCCTTTAGTTTGCTGTCATCACCACCTACAATAGCAATTAATGAAAGTAATGATCAGAATAAATACATACAGAGAGAAAACAATGAAGTGTTATTGTAGGGTTTAACTTGCCTGTATGCTTTTATGGTGAATATTATGAAGAAACTTTATTTTATTTATATATTTGTAGTTTTGCTAAAAAAAAAAAAAACTTTTGCTATTAAAGGCACATAAAATTATAAGCTAAATGAAAAATAAAATGTATATATATATATATATATATATATACATATATACTTTTTTAAATTTAGCTTATAATTTTATTTGCTTTTAATAGTGTTCTTAGATTTTTGTAGAAAAAATTTTAAATAATATATTTTTTACATAATATAACTTTTTAACGATGCTTTTTTTTTTTTTAAGAGATTTACTTATTAACAACACTGATAATAATGATACAACACAGCCACAGTGAAAAAAGAAAAAAAGTTCCCTTTTTTCCCTCATACCTGAATACACAGTCTGAGTATCCCAGTAACTAAACGCTGAGATCCAGGCTTCATATTCGTGAGCTTTCCACTGACACACAGCGGTTAAATCTGCTTCCCCCAGAGACAGCAGTGTGAGAGAGCCAGTGGAGTCACTGGACACCACACGCACATCACTGCTGGAAAACCACAACACTGAACATCACATACAGAGTCAGTGCAAAGAAAAATGATCAGTGACAGACTCATCATACCTCTCGCCTCGCCCTGTGGACCAGTCTAAAGACAAGGCCAGTCTGTCAGGACCCAAATCTGTGCTCAGCTCACACTCCAGACCACTGGAGCCCTGCTACTGGAGACACACACACATATTGAAGAACAAACACCACAATAAAACATCTTACACACAGTAGAAACACTAAGCAGCTTCTAAGGGGACTAAAGGATTACCTTAAATTCTATATACTGTATACAAAAATAATAATTTAGCGTTCATTTTTATGCAACACAATCTACAAATGAGACAAACAGATGTAATTAAACTTAAAATTAATTAATTAAAATTAAATCAGTATGCAAGGGTTGTGTCAAGTCATAAAAGCTGAATAAAATATGATATTATATGTGAAATAAATATGATATATATAAATAGCATTGAAAGTTCTTGTTTTAAAGGTTCATTCATTAATTTTCTTTTCGCCTCAGTTCCTTTATCCATCAGGGGTCGCCACAGCGGAATGAACCACCAGCATATGTTTAACGCAGCAGATGCCCTTTCAGCTGCAACCCATCACTGGGAAACACCCATACACACTCATGCACTATGGACAATTTTAGCTTACCCAATGCACCTATAGCGCATGTCTTTGAAGAATACCCAGGCAAACACAGGGAGAACATGCAAACTCCAAACAGAAATGCCAACTGACCCAGACGGTGCTGGAACCAGCGACTTTCTTGCTGAGGCCAACATGCTTTTGTTGTTTTAAAGCCCTTTCTCTCTCTTTCACAAGGGAAAGTTTTTACACCCAGTTTTTTTTTACCCAGGAACAAGATGCAAGTCCATGTTTGGACAAGCAGAAACGGCTATTTTGTTGTCATAAAAAAGAAAACTGATTGGTCTGGGGTTGACTGACGCTATTTTGGTGTTTAGAGATCTTATAAACCCTGTATTAAAATAGAATATGTGTATTATACATTGATTGATAATTTGCACACTTTTAAATCTAAATAGTGTATTAATTAATGTGTCTGTGAAATTGGTCATGAAAGTTGTTTGGGAATCCTTGTTTGATTGGTAAATGATTGTGGGTTAACTGGCTCTAGGATGTATATTTGTGTGCATTATTTCACTCCCTTTTTACTTTTGACTTTGCATTAATGTGTTAAAGGAATGGTTGTAAATAAAGAGATTGTTAAAAGTCTCTCTCTCTCCCTCTACCCCTCTTGTATTAATATTGATTTTAATAAGCTTAAGAAATATCTTCCATAATTAAAATAATATTATTTATACATTTCAAATTAACTGTAACAATTGCAAGTAAAAATTTCATTTAAAATTTTCCCTAACAATAACTATTGTTTTTCCACAGATAAAAATATCACGTTTATGCAGATTGTGTATTAAAAAAAAATACAAAATATGAACTGTCTACTGATGCTTAACATTTAAATGTGATGCTTAGATATTTATTTAAAAAATGAACTTCTTTAATAATTTTCTTTATTACTATAGCAAGACATAATAGTCTATGTTGTAGAGATGACCTGTTAATTACAGTATATTTAGAACAGTCCTGATTGTGCATGAGTGTAATTAGTCACCTGAGCTTCGATAAGCTTGTAAAGCTGGATTTCTCCACTCGCAGTGGCCATTCCCAATAATGGGCGCTCAGATATTGGTACATGGCACCTAAAAAAATTAAATACAAAAAAAAAAAAAATGTTTGTTGGCCTGGAAATTTCCATGTGAACTCAGCATCCACATCATTATGGACCATCAGCCGTGACTAGAAAATACATGCGGAAAATAAATGGATTCCTCCCATCATAAACAGTAAACAACAAACATAACCGAAAAAGTTAAATATGTTAAATTTAAAACAACATACCTAGAGTGTATATTTGAGTATGCAAAGAGACAGCTGAAGGCAATTTATTCATGCACCTGTCAATTTAGAAATTTATTTTATTGTATATATTTTCAGACTAATGTAAAGCAAAAACTCAAAATAGGCTTTCATGTGCTTCTTTTGTTGCACGATGTTAATTCATGTATGAAATTACAATACATTTTTAAAGGCGGTTTTCTCTTTTTTTTCTCATGCACTGAGTCACAAATCTCCGCTTGTGCACATACACACACCAAAAGTTAGTTACACTTATCTATAAGGGTTTTTACAGAAGAATCGGCTCATACATTGTACACAACATTTTATTGGCTGATAGATAGATAGATAGATAGATAGATAGATAGATAGATAGATAGATAGATAGATAGATAGATAGATAGATATTATTCCCTCAGAAAAAAACCTGACTTAAGAATTTAATGCTATAAATACAAACAAATCGTTGCATATTTAATAAAATAATGCATTATTTGCATATTTAAACATAATTTTCATAAATACATACACTGAATATTACTGTTATATATGAAATATAATTCTTATTGTGATCGTGATAATTACTTCTTAACATCTTTACCCTATTAATAGACTCACCACTTGAGATCGAGTATAGCTGCTGTGTCTATTCTCTGACTCTCCGTCAATGGAGGAATGAACGACGACTGAGGATTACAGTCAAACAGATAAAGCCGACCGATTCTGCTCGGGGCAGCGGAACCTTCTGTCCTCTGCTGTTTAACACAAAACACAATTTCAATCCAGAAGTGACTGGTTATTACTAACTTAAATTATAAAATAAAGACAAGAGACTTTATTCCTGTAATCTAGCATTACCTTATCATCTCCTTCCAGAAGTTGTTGGTAAGTCCCACATGCCAGAACATGAGCCCACTGTGGTATGGGGCACCACTCGACCGTATCCGCAGTTAACTCCGTGTCAAACACCTGCAGGGTTCGGGTTCGAGACTGCCAACCCATTTAAACCGCTTGGCACAACATAAAGCTAACTTACTTAGAAAGAATAAACGTGTTAACGGACCAACAAATAAGAGGAAGCGCACTGTCTGTCCGTCAGGCTATGATAACCGTTACTTTCAACACACCGGGTCAGCTGTCATATTGTTGCAATTTTAAGCTCATATAATTTTATGTATTAAGTTTTTTTTGACATTTTATAACTTAACATCAAATGACAATTTCAAGAGCATTACCGTGTTCGTGTAACTTCGACTTTTATCGTTTTACGAGGTAAACATGACGTGAACGCGCTTTAACTTCCGGGTGGCTGAAATCTGATTGGCTGAGCGTTTAAATCGTGACTGTTTTGTTTACGAATAGTTCCTGGTTGGAAAGCCGCTCTATTTTACAGTCTATGGTTCAGCTTTAGTGTGATTGTATGGTAAAGAAGTATGGAACAAAATAACTCGGAGTCTAAATCAGTCCTTTGCACATTGCTGGATAAAAATGATCAGTCAAAGTATGTGTTTTTTACGCAAAAGCTACCAGCAGGAGTCATAAACATTGGGTGAGTAGACATGCTAATAGTGATGTTATTATTCCCTATCTTAAAGTTTACTTATTATAAACACGTTTTATTTATTTATTTTTTAAATATATAATTACTGTCAATTTATTTTAGTCACACCAGTGCTGTTTTAGAATTTTAATGTTTTAATTTCAGGTTTAGTAGTCTTAAAGGGTCACGAAACACCAAAACACATTTTTTTGAGCTGTTGACATTGCTCTATTCAGCTTGGCATTTTATTCCAGCTTTATTTCTATGACCAAAATATTGTTTAAATAGTTATAATTAACAATAACAACCCTAATAGTTCATTTTAAGATGTGTATAACTGCATAACTCATCATGTCCTTTCCCCCATAGATTTACCAATGGTGAAGATGTTTGGAAAACACATCTTTCAGAGGAGATTCTCTCTCAGCTTGTAAGGGTTTATTGATTGAATCTTTCTACATGACAGACATTCATCTCTTACTACAATAATACATTTTAATTCACTCAAACTTCTACAATAAGCTGCTTTGACACAATCTACATTGTAAAAGCGCTCTAGAAATAAAGATGAGTTAAACTGAATTGCTTATTTTTCCACAGTTTAAGAAATTTTCATTAAAGTCCACAGAGGATTACACCTTCAAAATCAAGTGAGGTTTTCTCAAGTAACTTATAAATTAGTTATGTGACTTCTTTGGTGGTCTGAAAAGTCCTCTTGTGTCTTTGGTCAGATGTGCATGCAAGACTGGCAGAGCGTTTGTGAAGCTGCTGGAGGACAGTGCTGTGCTGCATTTAGGAGCTGAAGCCACAGATCTCAGCCTGTCTCTAGCAAAACTCACAGACTCTGAGGGAAGGATGGAAGTCAAGGACCTGCTCTTTAAAATGGCAGATAGCTTGCAACAACTAGATAGTCAAGGCGAGCTCTCTATTACTATAATGACTCGTACTGAAATGAAAACCAAGCCGAATTAAATGTTTGCTGTTTTTATTATTGTTTAGGTGCTTCCTCTTCATTTAGTCCAGGCAAAGGTTATCAGAAGAGGAGTGCTGGTAAGTTATGACACCTGTTGACAAATCAAAAGCTGTTATTAAATTTCTAGCTCACACTGTACTTATAAAAACAGTATTTAACCCTCAGGAAAATAATGTTTCTCACTTGTAGTTTAACTTTTTATTTATTTTTTATCTGAGGTTAAAAGGCTGCATAATACTGGAAAAAAAAAAAACTGACAAAGTGATATTTGATTTTTTTTTTCTGCAATGGGCTATATGCACACGGACTGTTTATTTTAATCAGCCAGCCTCAGCAATTCCAGTAAACTGTCTTTCCATTATAAAATTGCTGTGTTTAAGGTCTGATTTCTTAAAAAATCTGTGAAGGGAGTGTTGTTAACTCAAAATTGACTAAAAAGTTAATTCTACTCATTTGAAAAGAGTTTTGAACTCAGTGTTGAAGGTAATAAGTTAATTAAATACCTCTTTGCTTTAACTTAAATGGAGTAAAGTACACAGTACTCATATAGACTGGTATTTTAACTCAAATGGTTCGAGCAATCGGTTTCCTCAAACAGTTTGAGTTGTCTTACCTTATTGGGTTTTACAGTTCTCAGTTGGTTTGAGTTCTCTTCATTTATTGAGTTTTACTGGGCTCAAATTGCTTCGTTTACTCAAATGGATTAAGTTCACAGTATAGATATATGACATAAAGTGGGTCTCAAACCGGACAAGAAGTACTGCATTAAATTTCATTTTCCCCCTGCCATGTCTTTAAAATATGACAGTTTATTTTACCCCGGTATTTATAATGGAGTTTCTGCGAGGCTGCTGATCCTGATGGCACTAGTGGTTACACCATCTTTCATCTTGTTTTACGCTTGAACAACTAAATGAATGCTCAAGTCTATTTAACTAAATGTATTGTAATTACATTACAACATCGATGCTGTAAAAATACAGCATGAAATTAAAAATAGTCACATTAAACTTTTACCGGAAACTTATCGTTGGCTGAAAAACACTAGCAGTGCATATACCCCATTACATATTGAGCATACCTTTCACCAGATGAAAAGTATTTGGAAAAGAAGTGATCATTTTAGATTGATTGCAATGATTTTATAAAGGAGTGCATCTTCAAAATAAATATGACACATTTATTTATAAAATAATTTGCTGTTTCAATCAGTTTAGATAAGATGACCCTCAAAATAATGTTTTGGACAAAGCCTTGTCCCGAACAAGACTTTACCTCTGACATCTTTCCATTTTAGAATTTGAACCTAAAAAGCAGCATAAGGGTCCAGTAGTAGCAGTTAAAAAACGTCTTCCTGGAGATTCTCTCATCAACCCAGGAACAAAAAGGTGAACATTTTAATCGACTGTAGATAAAAGTAACCAAAAACATGTGAATATTATTTTACTTTTGTTGTGCTTGCTGACATTTGTATCTGTCTGTATTACAGGAAGAAACCTGCAACAGGTGTGGCGTTTGATGATGAATGATGTCAATGTAGCGTCCAGATTTTAATAAGTATCAATTATTAGTTTTTATCAAACCCAATTTTTTTTTATTTTCAACTTGCAAAGCATGAAAACAGCCGTTTTTAATCATCGTGCATCTATTTAAGCTTTTATTAAATGCAACTGCAGAATGATTTTTAATGTATTTTTAAACTATGTTGCTAATAAACATATATATATTTTAAATAACTGCTCTCTTATTTTAAAAACAAAACTCAACATGTACTCCGGAAAAAAAGAGTGACAAAATATATATTTACCAATTTATTCATTTAATTATTCTCTTTTTCTCCCTGTTAATAATAAAAACATCAGTTCACCTCAGTTAGCACAAGAGAATGGAAACAATAAAAGTAATTGAAAACGAGCTGAAAAGGTCCAGTCAGTCTTGTTACAAGGGAATCCACCTGAACACAGGTATTACTGGATGGAAATAAACGTTCATAAATATCGAATCATATTCACATGTACCCAAGTTACATTCCAAAGCACTTATACTAGAAAGATAAAACCAAATCACCCCTTTAACCATAATGCTATTTTATCAGATACAGAACCACACTTATGTTTGCTGGTGTCTTAAATCACTGCACATGTTCATTTCCGAAAACAAAAAGCAGCTTGGGACTGATCTTTAGTTAGGCTGTTGAGGTTCTCCGTTAGCAGGAAATATAATCTGAAGCGGCCCTTCATAATCAAAGACAGACTTTCCATCATAACTGTATGTAAATAAGTGTTCAGTAGGTCAGTTTTAACAATCAAAAACGTTCATTTTCCCTTTGGTCATGCACAAATCTTTGCTTTCCTCTCAAAAATATGGATTAAACTCTCTTACGCAGCAATTTCAGAAAAATAAGACACCATTACAGTACTAAGTGTCAACAACTGTGCAAGATTCAGAGATTAAGCACGGTTAGACTGTCACTGAGCGATTAAACCAAACCATCACCGACACAAAGGAGAAGCATCATTTCATTCAAATCCACAATATAATCAGGTCGAAATCAAATTCAAAATGTTACATTACAGTGCAAACGACAAAATCAAAACCTCCTAAAACAAACCAATTCGAGGGTTCTCAAACACAACATGACCTGATGTCTGTCTATCTGTATTAGGAGTGACTCAAAAGTTCACCTTTGGCTTCACAGTGATAGCGTGACACTTATTATGAACATTTCTACTGACATCTGGTGATGACATCTGGTATTACGCAGCTCTTAACTATTAATGCAACAGAGTTCAATTACTATTCACCTCAAAATTCATTCATCAAAACAAATGAGAAACCCCTGGTTCAGGAGACACAATAGTCAGCACAAAACATTTATGCCATTTACATTCAATTACAAGACCATAAACATCTGGATAGCAGGGCTGGTACGCTCCAGTTAGACCACTGAAGGCCTTTGAATCATTCATCAGTCATTCACTATTGAACGTCCGATGTAAAAAGGTGCACAGGTTAATCCGCATTCTTCGACAGGAACATTGGGTCTGTTCGAAACATTTAAGCATAGTAAAATTTCTTCAACCCACAACACGACAGGCTTGTCTTTTATAGCATGCTCTCAATGCAGTACCAAATGAACAGACTAGAAAAAAAGATGTATAGTTACAACCCAACGTGAGGATAAACAGTCATAAAAGAACAAGTCCTATTCCTTGAGGGATGATTATGTTATGACATCAACACTACAATTAAAACAACTCGGACGCGATCGGTTTAAAGATAATACGACCATATTCGAATTTAAAGCGATACCAAAATAAACCATACAGCCACTTTTTTTGTTTCTAAGAAATACATTCTCTTTAATTCCCATCCAGCAGGCTTGAATATGAAGTACAGTTTTTTTTTTTTTACACGTTTCCATAAACCGTCATCTCCGAAATGCACGAGGGGAGGCTGTGGACGGAGGACCTGATCGCGTTCAGGCCTCGACTGTTGTCCAGAAGAGCCGTTCTGTGCAGACGGAAAGAATGAGGACCCACTCACTGGGCCGGAGAGACGGATCTTCTCCAACCACAAATAAACGTACACATGTCTTTCACCACACAGACACAGGTCTGAACTTGAGGCTTATATTAGAACATCTCTCCGTCTGTGAGATTAACAGCAGTTTCAGCACAGAGTGTCTGTATTAAAGGACAACTGCACCTGTAAGAAGGCAAAAGAAACATTCAGTTCAATAAATGTAAAAAAAAAAAAAAAAAAAAAACGACTCACTTGATGAATCGGTCAAGTTCACAAATCTATCTAATGATCTACTCACCAAATTGATCTCCTCGTATACACTAATATTTCAGGAATGTCATTTGTATTTAAAAATGGGATCAGAGTGAAAATTAAAGGGGTGTTTGAGGGGTAGTTTCCCATGAAGGGCAACTAAACAATAATTTGGACTCGTCTGTAACTTAAATATTCATATTAATTGGTTAGTTCAATTAAAAATTAAAATAATATTTTTAATTACTCATCCTCATCTCATTCCAAACCATTGAGACAAATTTCAAATAAATTACACCTATGGAGGATGAGGGAGCTCTCATATTTCATCCAAAGCCCCTTTAAGGCAAGTCATTTTACTTGGTGGCCATCTTTGACACGACGCTCAGGCATTCTGTCGGAATGGGGAAACATCAAATTCTCCCAAGTTGTTTATCAAGCTTACGATTACATTACATGTTTGGATCGCCATTAAATTAAGCAACAACTGTCTCATAAGTATAGTTTCTAAACGTCTGAATCAAACAAAATCGGCATGTGCACACGAACGGGCCAAGATCACAACACCAACCCAATTTATGGCAGTGTTGCAGAGTATCATCCTCTGACTCTTTGTTTACTAGTTTGTGGATGTTCGTGCAGTTGCTGCCATGTGATGTGCATTTGATAGGACGGACTGTACCTCGCATTCATTTCATACAGGTTACAAAACCAAAAAACTTTTGTTTTCAATTGCACTTGGTTCAATGAAGAGTACAGATTTTAAGCTTTGAGAATATATTTCTTATGTCTGTAAAGCAAGTATTTAATGAGATTTCAGTGTGTTTGTTGACCACAAAATCTGTTGTAAAAGTACATGTCTGGTCCCCCCCCCCCCCCCCCCCCCCCCCCCAATTGGAGCAATATGAGGGTGAGTAATCCTTAACCTTCATACCATTTTCTAATCAACAGTCATTACAATTTTTGCATGAACTAGCACTTAATTAAAATAAAATAAGAAAAAACAGTTAGCTTAAATATACATTTAAGCACCCCTATAAAGGCTCATTCCAGTGTGAATGCATGATCATGCCCAGAAGGCTATACAGGAAAGCATTCAGTCGCAAATCTGAACACTGGGTGATCTAATGTGGCTTACCGATAGACACTTTTCTTGGAAAACTGGTGTTTGTGTCTATATATAAAGCCTAATATTAATGTAAAGATAGACTTATTATGTATCAAAACACTGAAAACTTTATAAAATTATCTTTTTAAAACTATAATTGTAATTAACCAGTGACAAGTAATTGAATTAAATATAGGAATTTGGTTCACTAAGGAATGTGCATATGTATTATACATACTAATGAAAAAAAAAGTTGACCCCTACTAGTCTAAAAATATTAGAACCAGAAAAATTATAACTAGTAAAATATTTCGAATTTCTTAAACTATGAAAACATGGCTCTGGCATCTTGCACATTTATTATCCTCTGTTTCTGACCAAAGCAATAAAATAGCCATCAAAGACTTGTTATGGTTGGCGTACTTTAGGAGAAGTGCCTTGTTTTATGTTATGTTTGAAGGGCTGCTTCACAGAGCCTGCTCTTGAAGTGTTGCCAGGTCCACTTATTATAAGGGATCCTTGTTAAGCGGCTTTGAGCTTAGGCATTTCAGTTTAAAGAGTAAACAGTGAAAAGCATTCAGGATGTAATTTTTTAGTATGTGACTTATTTAGTCCTAAGATTAAATGTTTGGGCTCGCAAACAAGTGTGTTTACATGGACTACATTTTTTAAAATGCATATTTTAACTTTATAGTCATTTTTTAAACTATCCATTTTATTTACAAGGAAGGAAATTGATTTAAAATGGAAAGTAAAGACTTTTTTAATGTCTTAAGTTTGTAAGACTAATGTAATGTCACACAAAATATTATATTTCTTAATCAGCCTTTTCATTTAAACTGTATCAAATGATTCCAAATAAATTCAGTTGTGAGTGTAAAATCAGCTTTTTAGAGTGATTTCTGAAGGATCACGTGACAGCTTTTATACTTACTTAGTTTTGATTAAATACATGCAACCTGAAAGGACTGGTAATAAGAGTAATTGAATTGATTCATTTCAAACTGAATCGAATCTCTTCAAGTGAAATGTAGCTTTTATGAGTCTTACCCTCTCTTCCTCAAAGCTGATCAGTCCTTCGTCATCATCACTCTCCAGTTCCTCAGGCTCTTCACTCACGAGGGCGTTGAGCTCAGTGTTTGCAGGACGAGGCCTGAGGAGGCTGAGCAGATGCTGCAGTGGCGACTGGCCACCACTAGATGGAGAACTTTCTTGCTGCTCTAAGTTGTCGCTTTGCTTTTTTGCAAAGTTAACAAAGACCTAAAAAGAAGTAGAGAATAAGACATTACTACTTTTCATGTCATAACATTTTCAGCCTCTGGGTTTAATTTGCACACTGATTTAGGCTTTTGCATTAACAAACTGATAACAATATGATAAGATGATTGTAATCAGTAAATGCAGAATAATCAATTCAATTTAAGACAATTTAAAGGTGATCTATCATGTAAATATAAATTTTATAAAAGATTTAAGCACAGCTGTGTGAAAATACTGTGTGAATATAGCCAGCCTCTAATGGTACAAAAATAATTATATTTTTATAATCACACTTGATAAAAAAAACTCTCCCTTTGTATGTGTCATCAGAGTGGTAAAGCCACACCTATGAAGCTTTTCTCCCCATAGACTTCCATTCATACACACGCAAATGCATCAGACCGGAAACGCAAACTCATGCGTCAAGTTTCAAGCTTGTTGAAACTCTGAAATCGCATCACTAGACTGCGTGAAACCAATTG